TTTAAGACACAATATTCAAGTCTGATAATGCGAAACCTCCGAGGAAATCAAAACGCCGCGGCCGATTCTATTTTTTCCCTCGAACGAGAAACTTCTTTAAAAAAAAATCCCGCGCCCGCTTTGTCTCTTTTGTGCGAGCCCATTAATTTAACTGTTATATGAGTGGAAGTAATTCGGTATGAAACGTAAACAAAACAATATCTTAATTAAAAATTTCGTTAATCTTATGGAAATATTCGCGAATAATAAACCGCCTCGAAATTCCTACACAAATTTGAACAGGAATTTTCATTAATATCTAAAATTTCCTGTTTTACTAATGAAGAGACCAACCTGGTATAAACGAATAAATTATTACGTTACGTTATTTTGACGTAAGTCAAATGTTAATCAAGTGATAAGAGTATTCCCCGTATTCAGAAGTTTCGTATAATCAAATGGTTTTGTAACCAACGATTAAATATTTTCAACAACGACTTTTCACTTCAGGTTCAAATACCTTTAATTTTGTTAACCATTTGATTCAATGGTTATATTAAATATGCGGGCGAACGTCTAATCTATCTTCAATGATTATTCGTTATTTATAAAATATCCTTGTTGTGGCAACTTTAATCTCTGTTGTATTAATAATAACAGGAAAGCCGAGTTAATTCGTTTTGTATTTGACATGGAATTAGCGAGTTGTGTATGGGAACTTTGTAAGCCCAGTTTTAGCTCAACTATTAGTCTAAAGTCGAAGCGCCGATCTACAAATTAGTCTAATGAAACCTTTCGGAAAATTAAAGGGAAAATAGGAGGTGGCAGGACCAAAATTGCAAAGCCGGATGCTATTTATCTTGTTGACTTTACACAATCGCCTGTACAATAGACGAATAAATTAGGAAAATGTAGGTGGAGAAAGTGTTTTTCGGTCCCCCTACTTGGGTGATGTAGTGGTAATTTAAATTTTATTCAAATTACATTATACAATACGTCCAAGCTAACGCAGTCTCGATGTCACTGTGAAATTGAAATATTGCGACGTTGCCGATTCGTAATTTTTTATCATACACATCCCACGCGTTATAGTGTGCGTTTTAATTTAGTTTTCGAACGCGCCGATGACGGTAAATAAATCAATTTCGATCTGATTCGGCCCGAAATCCGTTTAGAATATTTAATTTTTGCGTCCCGTTGCGACAGCTTTCCCGCACACATCACCAGAGAAACGCAGAATTAAAGTCTTTGATTTATTTTAACGCCGGGAAGCTTATTGAGCAATCACCTTTTTTGATACCTACACAATACACAATCTAGAATTGTTTTACATTCATCGCGCCGTGCAGATCCGGATATTTATGTATTTCTCTGTTCGATCGCGATGAAAAAAAAAAAACAGAGAATTTTACGAAGGTTTACGCCTGTACGAATGATAACAAAGAGCGATTATATCTCTCCTGCGAGTCCTGCGATCTACAATAATTAATTTCGCACAGTTCAAATAGCACCGATAAAAGGTTTGTAAAATAGACCGTGGGATAGAGCTATAGGGAACAGTTGATTAATGTGCATTAGAGCGAATCGCGTTACATTAATAAAATTCATTCGCTCGTAATGCCGAATAAAATTTTGAATGTCAATGCTAAACGCGAATTTTAGTTGCATTTATGCCGGCTTTGATTGTAATCTTCTTAAGTGTTTATAACAGTGTTCTCCTACTGAAATAAATACAGAGTTTTATTTTGAAATATGCAAAAGTTTGTAGTGATACAAAATCAATCGAATCGTCGGAATTCGATAACAAATTTAAGTGTAACAAGAAAGCTCGTTAAAAGAATTTTCTTTTCAAAGTCTGGAAAAGACGGGCATTCAATGCGTATAATCTTCGAATTTCTGTTTCAAAGCTGTTTTTCGAAATGTGCTCGTAAACAAATTATGTCTACGTTTGCCTGAAGCATTAAATAACGCATTTTTCTCTCGATTTAAAAAACATTCTGCAACTAGATAGTCGAGAATACTAGCAATATTTTATTGGAAAAGTGACAAATTTCCTAATCCGAGTTACGCCGGTAAGGCAATCAAACAGATTTATTTGACGGTTTTAATACGACCAATTCTAAAATGATGAATTTCATCTTGGTTTAAAAGCGATTTCCTCGATAATAAATCTAAACTATTTTACAACACCCGCCATCAATACAGCTCACCGATGCAACTTTAGTTTTTCCCACTAAAACCATTTTGCAAATCTAATAAATTATTCACCTCTAAAGCCGATATTTAATCATTAATAATTAATTAGTTTTCGAAAGAACATTGCAATAAAAGGACATTTTATATAAACTGCAAATTCCCAACGGGTAGATTCGCGCTAAAAACCCTCTTTATATTTTTATGCCCCGATGGATTATTGAAAACGGACAATGGGAAATGCAATTTCCCGGCCACGGATACAATTTTATTCTTTACGTAGTGCATCTAATGGCACTCCGGCGAGATAAAACGGAAAAAGTGTTCAGATATTTACACATTCGGTTGATAAGAGTTCAGAAATAATGCCTTTCAGCTGTCGAGTAATACAGAAACCGCTGACCTATATTTTCGTTAATGTAATGTCTGATTTTCCGCCGTTTTCTTTTCCATCGATGCCACTGTATAGGTGTTCGATCAAACGGGCTGGCGATGAAAGCGGAAAAAATTAGTTAATTAATTTCTTACCGAATTTTTGATGCCTAAATAGAGTCTAATTAATTGGTAAATAATTAAATAACTAATTTTTATTTACCAATTTGCTAATTAGAAATAGCAATTACGTCGAGTTTGGCGCTATTTTAACAACAAATTATGAGTACAGGTGTACATGAATTTTAAATTTAATAAATTAATTAATTTCAAGTTGCTTTATGTGTATAGGTACGCTTCAATTCCAGGAATTTTCGATTGAATTGTACTTGAAATATTTTAGTAAATAATTTAATTAAATATTTTATCCACTAAAGCGGAATTATTCTACGCTATTCAATAAATTTATATTGCCGTAATATTAAATTTTTTATTAATTTATATTAGATCTATCAGGACCCTAATTAATCATTTTTCAAAACTATATAAATCCATGCGCAATAATGTAAACTAGCATCAATTTTATCTATAAAAATATTAAAAATCAGCGCTAACGAATTTTTAATACATCGGTGCGAAAATATTTAACGAGCATCGCCATAACTTCACTTCTAAACGTGAAACGCGTTATGAACTTATAAACGTTAACTATAAAATTTTTTACCTGTCTGGAAATGCTTCCAGAATGTGCTTTTTTGCTGTTTATTCGAATCGATTTACGTGCTTTTTTTCTCTTCCCTTCGGAATCTACATTCGAATCGCGTTCGGTTCAGTGTGGAAAAATGATTTATTTCCAAATCTGCGTCGCATGTTAGCAGGTCGAGGTTTTATTTGAGCTTTACTTACAATCTTTCTACGTTTTTTTTTATACGATTCTATATAATTCAGCTTATTTAAACCAGGTAAATCAAACGCAGCGTCCAGAATAAAGCGCTCCCACGTAAAGTTTTAACGATCAAACTAACGGCATTTCCTCTATTATAGGTATACGTAGGCGCTGTAACATGTTCAGTAGATTCGTCAAACAGGTAAAGTGCGTTCCGCTTTAATTATGTACGCGACAAATTTAACGCCATTACGATGTCGTTCTAACGCCTAACGTATAAACACAGCCGCTATAATTACTCGAATTTTCCCACTTCAGAACTTGCCAAACTCTCTTGTAAATAAATAATCGAGCAATCGATCAGTCGAACAATCGAAACGGAAACTCGGAAAATCCATCTCAAAAAGTGCACGGCTATTAATCAGAGTGTAAAATAGGGTAAAGTCTTCCTATAAACTATCAAGAGAGCCGCCGTAAAGTTTCGCGAGCGCAAAGTTGCGATTTTGTAAGTTCGGAAAATCGCAATATCTATATATATTTTTTATGCGAATCTTCCGTTAGCTTTGTACTATCCGTTCAAATATTTGCGATCTTTAGAAGCGCGATTGCATTTAAATTAAATTTCCACGAGCGTGTAGGAGGAATCCGTCGCCAATTGGAAACCGACAAAGTCCTACAAACACGTGGCTTAAAACTCTTCGGAAAAACTTTAAATAGCTTTCCGATAAAAATGTTAATTTCATTTTAAATTCCAATGAATATACAGGATGTCTTCTACACGCAGACTGCATAACGCGGAAAGTATTCTCGTGAATTTTCCGAATTAATTTTCTTTCCTGTTCCTTTCAAATTTATCGCGTGCTCGCTGCTCGAAGAAGTGCCACAGGTTAAGATGCCCATTATCTCGGCAACATTATCATTTTTCTTTAAGTCGGGAGCTCGCTACCCAATTTCCATCCCATACGTTTTGTTTTACTTACCGAAGGAAATTGCACGCTGCGTAGCCATCAAAAGGAAAAGAACTCGGGAACAAATGGGATTTGTGTCGGAAATGGATTAGAGTCGGAAACCGTATTACACGGACTTATTAACATACTTTTCGTTTGGAATCTTCCTTCTTATCGTGTATTTATGGAATTCCGAGGAAAGTGTAGTAAATGGCTGGATAAGTAATTTGTGTTAGAGTTCATGAATGCGTTGTAGAATATGGTTTCTGTATGCAACAGTAATTGTAAGAATATAAAATAATTATCTACAAATTGGATAAACCGGTAGAGGGTTCCCAAGACGTTAGGGGACATAATCCTTAAAGGATTTCGCATATTCGCTGAGGCCATTATGACAAAGTAGTTTATATTATACCGGTGTGAATCCCCTAACTTACTTAACCTTCCATAAACCCCGAGGTGGTCGTGAAAGTTTTTTCCCTAAGGGATCACGCGAAGGAAACGCGCAATACATAAAACCCTCGAATTTGATGAATTCGAAATATCCGGAAAAACCGCCGAATCGTCGAATTTTCATTTCGTCTACTCAGCAATAAAAGAAAAATAACGAACAGCTTACTTACCGAAAGTAAATCTCCACTTCTGATCGATTTGGAATAATCTGAAACACAACAAATAATAGTTTTATAACCGTTATTTGTATCAGAGTGTACGCCGAGGTAGAGAACAAGCCAATAATATTTTTACAATTCGAATAATTAATAGTTGAAGATGGGTGGTGTAAAAGGGCTAATTATATCGAAATTCCGGGGGGGGTTTCGTATCGTTTCAACTCCGGCGGGGCTGATAAACGCCGTGCTCGATAAGGCTTCATCGAAATATGTTCGAAATCGACGGCGTCGCCGCCCGGGGGATCAAATTAGATTTGTCTTCTCTTGGTTTGTGCGCGCCCGACCCGGCTAGCAAAAAGAAGATATTGGAAACACCGTCGGTGGTATTTTTCTCGAGCAAAAATCCCCGCTGACTTATATCGAACTGTCGTTGTAACGGACGCCGTAAATGCTGTTTATTATTATTTTTTAATGTTGAAAAACACATTTTGAAGGAATGGTGATGACAATAGGCAGTTGGTAGTCGAACGAAAGAACGGTCTAGTCACGTTTCTAATAACCTTTCTTGATGTGGACGAAAATAATCCGAAAAATACGTGTATTATAATAAATTAGAGCAGGTACGAATTCGTATAACACAGCGAAAACTCGCTAACAAAAGCAGTATAAAAACTACCAAAGCATATATCTTCTCAAAGAATAGGTATTACATACAGTAAGATATTCCTTTTTTTTCCGTTCCGTATACGGTCGTTTGTAGCAAACATCGCTTCTTTAAGCTCTGGCTTTTAGTCTCGTTGAAAATTAAAATGTTCTCTTCCATTACGCCGGGCCGAGGACGTGCACGTTTTGCTTTAATTCTTCCTTTTCTACGTTTTCACTGCCATTTAGTTTAGTTTGGTAACGGTTCAAAACGGAGCTTGAAAGAACAAGAACGGTCGCGGTAATTAGTCAAAATACTTTAAGAATTCTAATGAAGATTGAGGGCGGAATGTTTCGCATAAAACGATACCGGTGTTTCGCATATACAAAATAGGGGGAACGCGCGTGTTTGTTAATTAGTTAATATAATTAGTGCACCGCATACAATTTATTAATAACGGGGATTTCGTATGAATATTCAGGATTTGGAAGGTTGCGATATTAATAATTCGATATCATTATCGTTGGCAATTTGTTTGCCAATTACACGCGTGTAACGTGTATGTATATTAATAATTCGGTATTAATTCGGATTTCATATTAACTATAATTACGAAATGTCTCGCACTCATATCACTATATTTATTACCGCAAACAAGTGTAGGTACCCAATAAATTCGTTAGTGATAAATTTCTGGGCAAATACATAATTCACACCGACGCTATATACCGCATGTTATAGCTTCGAGGGCTTTCTGCTGATTAGTTAGCAGGTACTCGTGGAAGAAAAATCAATCTTATCCCGATACTTATTCGCACTAGTTCCGAAACCCCTGCAAAATATATTCGAATAAATCATTCAGAAGCCGGCGCATTTTTTCCAGGCGACTTTGTGTACAAGCACCCTCGAAACAACACTCGCTAAACTCCCTTTTTTTATGGGGAAGTATTCCCAGTTCTAGAGACATATTCTCGACTTTTATCTTGGCGTTACAATCTGCTACAACGTTAATAAGGCCGTAGAGTCAAAGACCCCCTTTATATACAGGGTCTTATTAGGTATCTTGGCATTATTGATGGGGGTAATTTTCTGCTGGTTTATTCTATGAAGAACCAGTTTTTATAAATATGTGCTCCGAATTGCTCTATTTTAGAGATTCAAGTGGTGGCTTGATGAGTTTTTAACAAGGTTAATTTAAAAAAAAGATGTTATAAATAATCCAAAAATCTAATTAAAAATGGGTGTTTTATAGTTGAGCTTCTCTTTATTAATTTATCTAATAAATTATTATCTACTGATGAAAAAGTAGAAAATGTATTAACTTGTTGAATAATTTGGTTATATTAAATAGAAACATTTGTCTCTGATGCGCGTAAAATATTATTTTAAGTACAAATTTTTAATTGGATCATTTTTTTAATAATTAATTATTTGGTTTCCTAGTGGCAAATAAAATTTGACATGCAAGTACATTAATCCCAAAAAATATACATAGTACCTAGCTAATTATTTTTTTTATTAAAAATTCAATATCAATGCAAGAAATATTGCAAAATGCAACATCGACAGAGAACAATTTTTCATAACATCATTGATAAACAAAAAATAAAATAAAATAATTCCACAAAAAGAATCAAAAATGAAAATTTGACACGAAAAAATGTTTCACAACAAACCTAATAACAAAACCCATAAAAACCAACACAAGAAACAATTTTTCACAACAAACCAAAAAAAGCCGGCACAAAAAAAATCAAAATTATTGCAAAAAATCCAAAAATGCAACATCGACAAGAAACAATTTCTCCCAACATACCTGATAACAAAAAAAAAACCAAAAGAACCGGCACAAAATAATTTCAACAGAACGCCTTAACCGTTGGAAAACTTGCGCGTGAAAACTTCCTCGACTGAACGTGGAAAATTGAATGCTCCAGTTGCCGGGCTGCCGCTGGTTCTGTTCTGTTGCCGTCCAAACGCGACGACGACCCGTATCAGATTGACGGCGAAGAGGATGGAATGGAAATTCCACTGTATCCTGCGAGCTCGCAGGAACGGCAAAACAGGTGGCTTCGGGAAAATTATTCCCCCCCACCTGCTCCGTCCAATCGAAATCATCTGTAGCCGGTAGATTTCATTCAAATACGCCGGATTTATCTTCTATGTTGGCATAATTAGTTTACTCGAATTCCCGTAAAGCTTTCGGAAAAGCTCCAACTAAAGGAGTGCGTTCAGTAACATATAATCTTGAATTTTAAAAGGATTTTTAATGTACGAATGGGTAGTTCGTCTTATCGACCCGATTGGAAAATAAAATGGTATATAAGCAATTACCGATCGGGAATCCTATATCTTGGATAAAAATTCTCCTAAGCTAAATTACATCATTAAAAACATCCAGGTCAATAAAGCCCGGCATTCGAGACGGCTCGATAGAGTAATTAAGCCTGTCACATGTTGGTTATATTTGAAGTGAAGATAAAGATATAAATTTATGTAATGGCTCGCCAATATTTTACGAGGCGATCATCCCACACTTATATTTTTATCGTTATATTAAGTATTAACTTTGTCCCTATTCGAACCCCCGCCGTAACAGTTTTAATTGCTATATTTTTTTTGATTAATAACCTCGTCTAATCAAACTCGCAAAATTAATTACCGGGAGTTCAAACACCCGCGTTTTCCCCCGTAATAAACCGTTATTTCGTACTTATATTAAATTCCGCACAAAGGAAAACAAATCGACTTCGGTTTAGTTCCGCTATAAAAGAAAAATAAATACCATCTCGGCGTTATTTCGCGAGCAGGAAAATTTTCTTTTCTGCAAAGACATCGCCGGGAAAACTATTTGCTTTGCTGGCTTTTATTTAACTTCCGCATGCGGGACGAGTAAGCGGATTAATAGTTTAATTCCTTATAAGTTCGCATTTAATTCGATTCCGTAATAAAACTTGTTCGGGAAAAATTTCCTGGCGAAGGATTATCCGATAAATAAGCAGTTTTTAAGGATATATGTTTCGAAATTTAACACATCGAATCTAGGAAAAGAACAAGAGAATCCAGCTTACTTCCCATACTTAGTGTGTTCGTACGACAGCAAAGTAAAAGACCTCGTCGTCCGTTTCATTCTCTGCGCTTTTTCTCTCCTCCTAATTGATTCGTCGAAAAAGGATCGGGGCTATTGTTGGAAATTGGAATCAAAAGAGTAATTCGTTAGCTTGATTCTTATTTCTTCACGTTATAACTAACGGAAAAAAATAATGATAGTCTTTTTTTCCCGACCCTTCCAGGACATTTGGAAGCCTAAACAAACTTTTTCCGTCCGAGATTTAAACACTGTCGAGTCGATTTAAAAAAGCGGAGTTCGAGTTTGTTTTTTATTTACACATTAAAGAAGGTTTCCGTGAATAAAACCTGCGAAGTTAAGGTAACAGCGGGACATTAAGCAAAAGAGAAAGAAAGTCCGGACCCAAATTGCCGTCCGGGGTGCTATTTTCGGACTCGTGGGAAAATACTCGTTCCGCATAAGCAAGTGTTGCAGATCGGGAATTCGGGAATTAATGGCCGTCGGTTTGGCGGAAAAAAACAATTCTCTTTGACGCGAATCGATACAGGAAAATATGATTTTTTATACGAGGCTCACGTCGGGGGCCCTTCATTATATCCTGACGCCGGCAGATTGTACCTTCATCCATTATAAAAATGAGTTAGTCGGGACAGGAACGTTCAAGATATTCCTCGAATTTATTGTTTTGGCTCATCATATTTGTCATTGCCAGACTTTGCGGAGTTTAAATGAATTAGTGGGCACTAAAAATTCGAATTACGACCAGACTTTTATACCGCTCTAAATTAGTCTACTTATATAAAGCCATAGATTATTTTGAAGCATGCAGAAGTATGCAGAAGGTATCGAAATTGCCAAAATATACGCATAAATGTTTATAATTCGATTTGATCGATATTTTAGTAATTTACAAGTGGCTAACATTTAATTTGACAATTTCACATTTGCCACTCTAAATTACGAGTTAATTAACTCCAAGGTTAATTAATATAGTTGTTTTAATTAAGCGGTATCAGATTTCACGGTCCAGACTCTTCCTAGTTTACATTAAGCTCTGTTGCTTAATGATGTTTAAGTGCAACCCAAATCGTTGTCTTCCTGCCGGTAATTGGAAGCGGTATTTACACCGAAATTACAATTTTCGCGCACAAAGTCCTTTTCCATCGCGCCAATTTATTGAACGATCCATTATTGTAAGTACAAAGCGACTTCTTTGATCGCGATTTTCTATTATATATCGCAGAAAAATTGGGAATTTATTGGGGAGCGAACGTTATCAATCAAAATTCCCTTTATTTTTTTCGAAGCGGTCGCATCTAAACCAAACAATTCATAATAAAAGACCAATTCCGCAAATCTAAATAAATATCTCCTGTTGAAAGACTGTGGAAATAGAAATCGTGCGCTCCGGGAAATTCAACAGTGTATCAATACAAATGGAACATTTATTTGTACAAAAAAAGGACCGAACGCTACCGCAAAAAATCTAATATGCATATAAATTTCCAAACGGCCAATTCCAATAATCCTTCGTATAAAATGGATAAAATAAAATTCGTTTTTTGTTAATTGAATTTGGTTGTAAAGTAAAATATATAACAAGTGGTTAAATTAAAAAAAAACATATCACTTATGGGTGTATCTGGAAGGAACCGTTATCGCCAAATACGATTATACCCATAAATTGTCCTTTTCCACTTCTACGGCTGATTTATAATAACTTGTGGGTGTATCGTTTGTAATGTACATTCCATTTAACAACCGGAATTCCAGGGTATTAATTACACGCACACTTATAGTCAAACCAGCCATCTTCCTGCATGAGTGAACGCTAAAACCGACAAAATAACCGCTGGGAATAGAAGGATAGACGAGATTAAGGCGTATGAATTCCCTCTAATTACTCATTTTGTGTTCATTAACAATAAATAATAATTCGCGGAGACGCGGGGAGTAAAGTATAAAATTACGTCTGATTCGACTCGAACTCCGTCGGGATAAATCGCGCAAATATTAAGTTCGCGAACGATAGAAACGAGAAAAATTGAAGAACAAAATTGGATTTCGAGTGTATAAGGGCGCGGAGCTCGAGGACATATCCTCAGGATTTTTTTTGGGTATAGTTTTTGGCAGAAAATCGATACTATAATATATTAAATCCACTTTTTTCGTAACTAGAATTAACGTTTACTGTGACAATAAAATAAACTTTACACATGAACATCCTCTACTGTAATCTACGGTTATCTTAGAGGTGCTCCTAGTTAGTTATTCACCATGTATTTTATTGGACCTTCATAAGATTTTTACGAATGGAAAGTTTTCTATGAATAATAGATATCTATTAAAAATAATTTGCTGTGGTTTCTGATTCGTCATTTTTCCGAAACCCCTGCGATGTGTCTCATTATTGCCAGGGCAAATCAAAGGGCTTCGCAGCCTTGCAATCCGAAGCAGTCCAATTGAATCGAATCTAATTTTAGAAATTTATTCGTCGTCGAAGAGGCAGATTTGCGGTAATAAAACTTTACCAGCGGGCATAAAAAATTGTTGATACTTATAATTTTCAAATTAGCTCGCCTCGAATAAATATTTTAATCAGTTCGATGTATTTTCGGCGTGATCGACGTGGATCTATTAGAAAAAAAAAAGGAGAGAGGAAAGTTTTCGATACGTTTAGAAACGCGAAAACGAGCAGACGGATTCACGTCGAGCAACTTTTTTCATCAAACTCCGACAATATTTCCCTCGATGTATTTAATTTTTAGGTGGTGCTCGAGAAAGTTTGGAGCATTTTAATATTATCCCCGATGGCCGAATGCGGTCGATTCATTTACTTTCCGTTCCGAAATGCTCTTTTATTGAATTTTATCCAATTTCCTAACTCGAAATTAATTTAGTTCATTGTAAAGAAACGATAATAAATCGAGTAAAACAGAGCTCGCGAAGCGTGCGAGGTTTAAAAAGGTTCTAATAGTTAATGAAACTCGAAATTAATTCTTCCCTTTACTACAATACAATTGATTTTCAAACGAGATGCTAATGCGGAATTTGCCTAAACATCCCAGCTAGATACCAGATTGAATTCTAATTCAATTATCCCCGATAGTTTTAAAATATTACGCAGCCATCGGTAGGAAAATTTCGAGCCCGGATCGCAATTCAAATACGAAAACAACATCGAATCCTCAAAATAAACACGAACGGTTGTCAAATACTCCGTTTAAGCGGAGGAGAAATAGCATCTCGGCACGTCAAAACAAGATCCCAAATGTAAACAAGTCGCTTAAGGACAAAGCAGAGTCAATATTTTTGTGTATTGCAGCGAAATAGGAATCATGACAATTCCAGGGACAACTCACGACAGTCGATAGTTCCAGTATCTACGCTGCGAAATGGAAATAAATATGTCACCGAGGAAACCTGATCCTGTCATTCATTATAATTGAACAATGTTCATAAATAAACAGCTAGCTTTTTAGTAATTGAATTTGAAATTACAACGCAAAAGTCTTCATAATACAGAGGAAAAATAATAGAAGTTGTGTATAGAATAAATAGTAGCTTTAATCTAATGAACATTATCTCTTCTAACAAAGCAGCTTTATATTCGAGACATTAATTGCGATACAAAATCGCGCACCCTTAACGAAATCCGGCCCATTATCATCGTCAATTCCCTTAAATTACATTGTACCCGTTCCTAACGTAATTTAACAAGTCGCCTCGCATTTCGTCAAAGAGCAAAATAGTGAGAAAAGTTATGAAGAAAGTTAAGTTGGCCGAAAGGCAAAAGCCAATTAGCGACGTTACTACGTCGAAAATTCGCCCGGAGTTCAGTCACGGACCCGGAGAAATAAATTCCGTCGCGACGCGTCGAAAATATCGCGACGCCGCTAATTTCGGCGAAAACCGGTCCGGTTTTTAAAATTCGATTTAACGAAATCCTACCTACTCATTAGGCTTTATCAATAATCGTTTAATCCAGCGTATGTACCTACCCAAAATTTTTTGATGATTATTTGATAACGCTATAAAAATTAAAACGCGTTCAAGAATTATCATTAAACGATATATCCAAAAGGAAGGAAAACCGCGGCTTCGCGGAATCCAATCAGCGGCATCCGCGAATTAATTCCGACCGGTTATTTTCCCTTCGTTAGTAGAGCGGAATCCGTCGAGCGGAAATCATGAAATCGGCGATTTTTCTGTACGCGATCGCCGCGTTCCTGTGGGATTCCCAATCCGATGCGAAGGTGTTCGAACGGTGTCAACTGGCCCGCGAGCTGGCGAAACACGGCGTGCCCGACGAGCAAATACCGACGTTCGTCTGCATCGCTAGCCGGGAATCCGGCGGCGATTCCGGAAAAATTGATTACAAAACCGGGCGGCACGGTGTATTCCAAATCGACGAGCACGTGTGGTAAGTTCATTTTCTATCATTAATGCCCGATTTCACCAACCCGTTTCTAAAGTTAGGTAATACCTAAACCGGATTTAGGAATTCCTAACTACAAATTGCGTTTCACCATGCACTAAGTAATACCTAAAAGTAAAAGGAAATGCCTAAAGTTAGGACAGCTCACTGGGCTTGCCTAAAACATTTAGGAAATACTTAACCATACTTTTCATGTGATTTCATGTGACTTAAGTCTTGACTGTCTTTACACCCTTTAGATGAAAATTTAAAATGGGAGGAGAGTTCTTAGAAACTGGACGAAACTGATTTTTTTTTCGACTTTTTCGGTATATAAAAATACGGCATTACAAATATCAGAAAGAATAAAAGATGATTTTTAATTTGATACACAGGAAGTTTTTGGAACTATTGACCATACACATGCATGTAAAGATCCATAGTCCTGGAGAAGAAGATGTAGAAATATTTTACAAATTGAAAAGGTTATTTTTCTATTAATGTACAGACTACATCTTTAGCAGATTTAAATATAACTAACATAGTTTAAAGATGGCCCGGATCATCAACATCTCTTCTTTTCTCTCAACATATTCAATTTCGATCTCCGCTTATTCGGTTTACACGTCAAAATTAGCCAATGCTACTAATAAAATTCAAAAAATTGTCAAAATCAAATTTTTACCTAGGTATTTCTTAGTAAGGGATTTCTAATGTTGGTGAAACTCGATTTAGGTAAGTATTCGATTTAAGTAATTCCTACCTTAGGAATTACCTAGTTAGGAAGTACCTAACAACATGTTGGTGAAATCGGGCATTAGAGTAATAAAATTCATCTAACGCATTGGTTTAACAATCTAAATCGTTGCAGGTGCTCGCCCTACGAGCGTCCTGGTCGCGAATGCGAGGCGAGTTGCAGTTCGTTCCGGGACGATTTCATCGGCGACGATATCGCCTGTGCGATGAAGATTTACAAGGACACCAAGCAGCTGTCCTCGGTCGGTTACGACGCGTGGGGTTCCTACTGGGAGCATTGCGCTTCTGGAAACAATTTGGAATACGTCGAGGGATGTTACTGAACGCGTCCCGTTCGTGCGATAGCAGCGCTATAAACGTAGAACGCGCGAATTTTATGTGTGTTTTTGCGAAAGAGAAAATATGTACGCGGATAGAGTATCAATAAAAGAGCGTTCGATGAGAAAATACATGCCGAGAATGGTGTTTTGGACCGCTTAAGTAAATTCGGCTTTGCATCAAATTTGCTGGATAAACTCGCTTGAATAAAAACTTTAATTTACTAATCGAATACATGTACAGACAAGCTATTTTCGAACGTTAAATATGTCTATATATTGCAGAAATACACTAAACAAACAAAGTTACTCCTATTGAACTAACAAAGGTCTAATTATAGATAATTCACAAATATGATTACAAAGCATTTTGAAGCATCTTAATTAGCTTTGTTACCGGTATTCCTGTAACTCCTAAAAGCCTTATTATACCTATTAATTCCGGTATGCTTATATATCCACCAGAGAATAGATAATTATGTAATATTTATATCTATTAAACTAGTAAAACAGCCATCTACCTGACAGTTGCAGTTAAAAACTAAACAAAAGTGCCCACATTTTCACAATTTACTTATTACATAAAGGAAATGGTATCAAAGAGATGGCCTATTAAAACGTCAGCTGCACAAATAGAATATATCAGGAAAATGATTTCCCTCGCAGCGTTTGTTTTCTATTAAAATCAAAGGAAGGATCCGAGAGGAGTACGACGGAGGATAGAGACGTGTCGAAAAGATTCTCCGGCGCGTTATATACCTTAATAAAATCCTCGTTTCGCGTTTAATGCCCGAATAAATTCGTTACTCAATTTCAAATTTCTTTCGTCGAAAGCCTAGCGTTCCGATGCCGATCGCATTTCGCAGAAATTAACTCCGTATTGAAAATTTTTCGTTCGAAAATAGGTTTCCTTTTAGCCGGATTAAAAACGCACTAAACTGCTCTTTTAACTAAATATTTGCGGGTGCGGTTGCGCCGTTATCACGTCAACTTGGCAAAACGGAAACCTCTATCTAATCCTATTAGTTTGGCATATTGGAGTGTTATCTGAACATGACAAGGGGTATATTACTCTAATATCTTGAATTTCAGGGGATTTGTAATATACAAGCTGATCCGTATAATACGTACTACTACTACTACTACTACTTCAGGCGAACCTTGGCCGAGACAGCTCAAGCCAAGGCTCAGGCACTGAGGCCTCTAGCGGGCCCATTGTGCCATTCCTGCTGCTTATGCATCCATGAAGCCGAGTCCCTCGATGAAGGCCTCAGTCCTTTTCAATGGATGCCTATTTGTGTCTCCAGGGGCCATAACAGGGACCCCAAAGGTTCGCCTGCGTAGCACAGCCCACTTCTGACACTCCAGAAGAACATGGTCCGATGTTTCATCAGCCATGCCACAGCCCCTGCAAAGGGGACTTTCCTCTAAACCTAGGTTATAGAGGTGTTTTCTCAGACAACAGTGCCCCGTTAGGAGTCCTGCTATCTTTTTTAACCTACTCCTTGATAGTTCCACAGCTGCCCTAGCATGTCCATCAGTCCAGCCCCTAAGAAGGAGCTTGGATTGCCTAAGACCATGCAGAGCACTCCAATAAGCGAGATGCTGATTTCTCAGCCAAACTCCCGCCTCTTTACGAATCATTTGTTTTGTAAGGCCCAGGGTCGGGCCCGGGCCACTGAAAGGAGTTGCCGTCCCCTCCACAGCCAGCGCATCCGCCCTCTCGTTGCCCTCAAAACCAGAGTGGGCCGGAATCCATTCTAGCCGCACTACATTCCGCCTCGCTAAGTCAGCGAGCCGTCCCCGACATTCAGCAGCGAGCTCAGAGTTGATGGTATACCCACTCAGGGCCCTGATTGCCGCCTGGCTGTCGGTGTATATGGTTATGTGACGGTTCACATAACCTCTGTCTAGGTTCATCTGCGCACATTCCAAGATAGCGTATACCTCAGCCTGATATGCAGATACCCCCTTGCCCAAGGGGACACAAACTTGTGTCTTTGGGTTCCTAGAGTAAATTCCCGCCCCAGCCCCATTACTGGAGCATGAGCCATCTGTGTACCAGACGATCCCATGAGGCTGTGAATTTCCCTCTCTTTCCCAGAATTCTCTATTCCGGATCTTCACCATATAGGGAGTTGAAAAGGAGTACCTGCGCAGGCAAACGTCTGCCGCTCGAGCCAAGACTGGGACATCTCCCAGGAGCCTAAGCTTCTTGACGTGCCTGCACCCTTCCTCACTTCGCACGTATCCCAAACTTTTCAAACGCAGGAGTGCCCTCCCAGCCTCGGCCTCAATCACATAGTGAAGTGGCCGAAGTCCAAGAATCACCTCCATCGCAGCAGTTGGTGTAGTCTTCATGCAGCCAGTTGCTCCCAAACTGACCACCCTTTGAAGGCGTGTCAGTTGCGTTCTAGCCGTGGCCAGGGTTACCCTCGGCCACCAGACCAGAGCCGCGTATGTGAGCATAGGCAGCATGATCACTTTATAGAACCACATGATCGTCTTTGGGGTTAGTCCCCACTTCAGACCGATGGCTCTCCTACAGGCCCAGTACGTGTTAGTCACCTTGTCTAGGCGACTATCAAGATGGGCCTTCCATGTCAGTGACTTATCCAGGATCACCCCTAGATATTTCACCTGTTCGACCACTGGAAGTGGTATTCCGCCAAGGTGCAGACCCTCCGGTCTTATACCTCTCCTTTTGGTGAAGGCAACTACCTCAGCCTTGGCAGGATTCACTGCAAGTCCGTGCTCGTTGCACCACCCCTGTACCCTATTCAGGGCCCTTTGCATTAGGTCCCTGAGGACGGTGATATGCCTTCCAACAACAAGGACAACGATATCATCGGCATACCCAATTGCTAGAAAGCCCTCACCGTTTAATAGGGTTATGAGTTCGTCGATTACTAGGTTCCACAACGTGGGCGAGAGAACGCCCCCTTGCGGACAACCCCTGTCGACGACCATTTTAGCCACATGTTCTATAATACGTAAGTGTAATTCTGGTAAAAAATATTCGAATTCTGTTAATCCGTTTGCTCAGTAAACTTGAAATAATTTAGATTTGCGATTAATGATTTATGGACAACGACCGATTTGTTTTAGTGGATGAAACGCGAATTGAACCTAACAGTAATACTATTTGCATTCATTTTATAATAATGCTTTCATTACAAGACTTCTGTTCGTATTGAAATTTAATCAATCATGCACGCAAACAATTTATTATTCCGCCGTTTAAACACTAAAATAATTAGTTCCATTTGAACATATAACAAAGTTAATTACAATTACAAAATAAATAACGAAACCATGAAGTTCGCATGCGGGAATCACGTACGCAATTGAATGAAACGTCAAAATCAGGTGATAAATTTTCTACTTATATAATGTATAATCGAAAAATAATAAATATATGCATGACGGACATGTAATTTATTTTTTGATTGATACATTAGTGCCTTTTTAGACAGGTTTTGTTTGCACGAGTAAAGTGTATGATTCCTAATACATTTTTATAAGGGTTATTCATTTTGTTATACTTGGAAAAAGGTTCGAATTGTTTATATACAGGGTGTTCTGTATGAGACACACTGTATATATTCTAAATTTCTTCAGGATGGCCTTTAATAATTCGGTTTTTCCGGCTCATTTCGCCTTGCTGTACTTATAAGAAACGCCATTTTCCGCGACTTGTACCGAAACGTTCCGCTCGATTTAACATCGGTCGCAGAATGTAATTAAAACTTTGGAAAATTGGATTATTAAAAATGTTTGACAATTAACGGCCCGCCAAAATGTTGCTACATTGTTACGTGTTCCGACTTCACGGCGGTCTTTGTTGCGAATTCGAATAATGGCGAACTTTGGTAATTATTCCGCTTTGAAGACGAAAAGGCCAGCTAACGAAGCGGAATGAAAAATAACTGTTTAAAACGCTGTGTTCAAGTGCCGCCTTTTTATAGCATATTATCGGCGGATATCCCTTATAGGGATAAATTAAGCGGTGTATTTCTCGAATATTTGTGCTAATTTTAAGACACGAATAAACTTCTAGCACGTTTTTCATTTTGATATTCCTATTCATGTAAGGACTTCCAAATCCGGCTTTTCGCTCCTTCACAAGCGCGACGTTTCGTTGATAAGCGATGAATAAAACTTATCAAAAACACCCACGCCCGGAAGTGATTTACGCGAGAAGCTTTTTCCAACTTAGGCGAATGTAATATAAATAATAATTTCAACTGCATTACGCTTACAGGTAAAGTTAGTAAGCTTGAACGGCGACGAAACGTTTAAATTTCTTCCTCCGATGTATCTTAAGTTGCGACGAAAAGGAACTAAAATTTACTAATTGCATTATTCGCCGTGGCAAAACCTTTCCTTTACCTCCGCAAACAATATTTTATTCATAACTCGCTAAAATCGTCTTACTAATGGAAGTTCTGCTTAACCTACTTTTAAGACGTTCTAAATTTAGCTGGAAGGTATTATAAGTGCCTCTGTGTTTGTATGAAGAACAATTGCGAGTATAGCTTTGTAAGTAGATACTATAAAATTAACTGTGGACTATTAACACAAACATTATATTAGTAAATCGGTGTTATTAAAACTTGTTAACGACAGATCGACATTCCCAATTCAAATGCATATTTATTTCTTATGTTCTCAATGAAGAACCAACTCGAAATTCTACATTAATTATTAATTAATCAAAAAGCTAATGGATCGACTTATTTCCGGTCAAGAAATTCGATTTTGAGTGCTCAAAGAAAACAGAGTTCGGTTTGTTTGGCTTTATTTCATTTCCATACTTTCCGCTTTCCGATTCATTCTCTCGTTCAGCACGTGTTCCCATTATTTTTTTTTATGCTGGGAAAAGCGCGCACCGCGGGTCTTTCTAATATAAATTTATTCCTCGTTTCTAAATATAGATCGGAAATTAATTAACAGTGCGATCCGCAGTTACACGCTAAAAAAGTTTCTCGTATTCGGCGATATCGATTCCTTCGGCATCCGTTATTGTAAATCCTAAAATTGGTAAATCAAATCGTCTCCGTTCTCTTGGCGAATGGAGACACTCTAGGAGGTAAAAAAAATCCATTCCAATAAAATACGCCCGGATCAATTTGGCTAAATTCATCTTAGTAGTAAAATTTCCGTTCTCGGCCACAATAAAACGAAGATTAAAAACGGGAATTTTATCCCGACATTCCCATAATTGTTCGCATTCGTCTCCATTGGAGTTGCCATGGGAATCGGTGTGTGGCGCAATGAATACGAATTTTTTTTTTCTTCCTTTCTAAATTAATTATACGACAATGTCTGTTAGTACCGAGTCTATTCAGAGGGTTGTTTTTGAGGAAGCCAATAAGGAGGCTAAAGTTACAGGGTGGTCAAACATTATGTCAAAATATGTAGTAGAATATCTACAGATGTGAAATATTAATTGAAATTGTAAAATAATAAGGCAGTAGGCAATTTAAAAAAAATAACATACGGTTTAAATTATTGAAGTTCGCTTATTGTTTTCCTTGAAAATGTCGTTGAAGTAAAAAAAATTTCGTTAACTTTTTAAAAGATATCTCCATATAGTTTTCAATTCTAATTAAACAATAGAGTTAGAATATAACGAATATTTTAACAGTCAAAATAATTGTATAGCAACATATTTAAAAAGTAACGATAACGATATCGTTACTATCAATAAAAATATATAAACAATTCCTGGAATTCGTACAATACTTGAACTACTTGCGATAATTTTGTATGTAAGTATATAAAATGTAATCTATTATCTATTATCTGTAAATTTATGACAATCTATTATAAACAAAAGAATCCTTATTTGCAATTTTGAAAATTATCTCCCATCTTTAAACCAAGAAATGCAAACCAAGCGATATTCGAAAAGAACCGTAACCTTTTCTGTTCCTACTTGTAAGTAGTACACTTCACATATGATTTGAGTTGATAAAATTTGTTCACTCGGATAATTCACAGAAATATCGGTACTTGACTTGGGTGATTTACGGAATCATTTTTATCTTAATATAAATACATATTGGTGATTTATGAGTGCAGTTGAATTTTCAATATGGCTGAAAACCTTTGTGTTTTAGGTATGTATTAGAAAGTATTTTTGTTGCTTTATTGGTTGCTAATGAACTTTTTTCTTGTGCTTTTGTTAGTTAGGTCCTATTCTTTATTTAAGTGGGATTAAAAAAAATAATATTTTATTTCTTTTTCCACGTGTTTCTAGTGCATCTACATATTTTACTAACCGCTACTTTATTCTATTAGTAATATGATATGCCTACTACATTTCCGTTCAAATGTTACCGTTAAATTACCTACATTGTATTATGCGCTGAGTTGCCAAGTATATCTTGTACTTTCAGAAAATTTTATAATCGAGCTACTGGAAGCGAATATCATCCAAAATTACAAAGCTAAAACGGAACAAGTTAGCAATTTCTACCAAAATAATTACTACAAGGTGAAAAAATTGCCTTTTCGCAATTTCAAATTGGAATTATGGGTCAACTGGTACGTAAGAAAATACACGAAAACGAATATAATTTTCGATACCAAATGGATCGACTATCTAAAAAAATGTTCGCAAGGTAAATCGGAATTATTACAAATCCTTTGTTAAAATAAATTACACCTTAATTTACAGACAAATTAACTGGAAAAAAATTCATCACCGAAAATAAATGTTTACTGTGCGATTTCGAGTACAAAGATCAAGAAGCTCTAAACAACCACGTTGAAACAGAAAGCCATAAAATTCGTGTTCAATACGTCGTCGATAAGTAAGTTCACTAGAAAATTATCATAAAACAAACTTTATACAAATGCTATTATTTCAGGAGCAAACTTGAATTATCAGAGGATGTCGCTATGCAAATAATACAACCACAGGGCAAACATTTGATCGTAAATTACCCAATCCAGGTGCACATCAACCTGGTACTTAGACTAACCAATAAATCGAACAACCCGCTGAATTTTACGGACGTTATCGTCGTCAATTCCCTAATCAAAGAAGTTTGCTTGCAAGAGGAATTCGAGAAAGGCGTTTTAATCGAACCGGACAGATCCGTCGACATCAAAGCGTACGCGTATTTCGAGAACAGCAGGACTTTCAACTATCCCGTTATCATCGTAACCGAAGATCGAGAGAGCGGCAAGAAAACTTACCATCTAAAAGAAATTGTACGAGTAGATATCATAAGGAAAAATGTCGTGCATGAGTAGGTAATTGCTGGATTTTACAGGCTTTCGAAATCACATCGGAGTTGTCCTCTTTGAAACCGGAATCGGAATACGTAAACAACAAACCGAACGTCGATTACATATTCGCCGAAGATGCGATAATTCCCGGCGAAAAGCCCTTCGTGTAAGTATCTTTAAAGATATTCACCAAATTGTTCCATTCCGCAATTTAAATTTTCCATCAGTCAATCCTCGTACACGGAAGCCTTCCCGTTGCAACAATACAAGATTCCCAAAGACATGAAAAAAATATTCGAAGACATAATCAGAAGGTGTCCGCAATTCATCGAAGAAGGCGCCGCCGCGAGACCATTTTTCTCGCACTTTTCGATGCTCCTCAACGTTTGCCCGCCCGTCACCAAAGAAAATTACCACGACAACATGGCGAAACTGCTTCACATCGAAGAAAACCAAATGTGCATCAACATGAAGAATTACGACCTCTTGACGCCATTGCACGCTATCAGAGGCTCGCGATTGTACAGCTTGAATGTAAGTGTTGAGAATGACTCACCCTGTATACTTATTCGCTTGATTATATAGGTACCAGGTTTGGCTGAAGACAGGCCTTCCATTTTGGTATTCGATAGAATTTACGTGAAAGAAAACAAACACGCCAAAATCAAATACGAAGGGTACGTTCACCACGTCATGGAGGAAGTGATTCACGTAGGCTTACATCGAAAGTAATTATTATCAATTTACTAGTAGTAAGTTGGGGTAATCGAGCAAATTTTAGATTCGATGATATATATTTAAAGAACAAACATTACTTCATCGAGTTCGCGTTCAACCGGCGATCGATCAGAGCGGAGAAACAAGCTCTTCTGCTGGCGGAAGCTCACCAGATCGTCCCCAGCCTGTTTCCCAGTAGAGGCGAAACTATATTACTCAACTCCGATGTAGAGTAAGCACTTTTAATTCATATTTTATTCGAATTTAACCGGCCGCTCTTTTATCTAGTATTAGTTTCGCTAACACAGTGTTGAACGAAGAACAGCGAACGGCGGTGAAGAGCATCCTGCCTCATAAAAATTTCCCTTTCGTGATATTCGGCCCGCCCGGCACGGGAAAAACCGTCGTAGTCGTGGAAGCCGCCTATCAGGTATACAAATTCCCGTTAATAACACAACGGTGCACCATTAACCCCCAAAACAAGAATTGATAAGATCCGACAAAAATGTTTTAATCCGGCGGGAACTTCAATTGGGAGATTTAATGGGAGCGCCGAGCTCTAATAAACTCTTATCTACGTTACTGCAATTACAGATATGGAGGAATTACCCGAACAGCAAGATACTATTATGCGCTCCGTCCAATTCGGCCGCTAATGAAATAGCAGTTCGATTAATGGACATCATCCCCAAGAGCAACTTGTTCAGGTTGCTGGGAAGATTCTACGCATCGGCGCTGGAAAGAAGATACAAACGTTTGGACGAAATTATCAACGTCTCGAAAGACGGCACGTTTTACATACCCGCGATGGAGGAATTGCTGAACTATAGAATACTAATTACAACCATCGTCACGGCTGCGAGGTAAATTCACTTTGGTGCATCTCGCGTAGGTTTTCACAACGGTCGAATTTAATTTAAGGTTGGTAAATGGCGGAACTCCCATGGGCCACTTTACTCACGTCTTTATCGACGAGAGCGGATACTCGACGGAGACCCAAACTCTAATACCTATAGCCGGGATCTTATCTAACGCACAATCGCCCGGTAAATTAACTGGCCAGATCGTATTGGCCGGCGATCCGAAGCAATTGGGACCTGTTGTGCAATCGGGTTTCGCAAGACATTGCGGATACGGTGGGTGCTCGAACTCGAATCGATCTATTTTAAATTCCGTATATAATTTCAGGGGTATCTTTGCTGGAGAGATTGATAAACACCTGCGACGTATACGCGAGGAATAAATCGGATGAATCCTACGACAATCGATTCGTCACACAACTGGTCAGGAATTACAGATCGCACAGGACCATATTGACGGTGCCCAACGAGTTGTTCTATTGCGGTCAATTAATCGCCGCTGGAAATGATTTTGCCGATCTGTTCGTCGGATGGCAGCATCTCAAAAACGAGCAATTTCCGATTGTATTCCATCACGTCGAAGGCGAAGATGTTAGAGAAAAAACCTCGCCTAGGTAAGACGAATTAACCCAACATAACCCATCGCTGTTGCCTCCAGATTAGAGTGAATGAATTGTATCAAATAGACAATTTTCGAAAAGAAATTAGTCGAATTTTAAACTGACGATGATCGCATTTTCCGTTCTCACAAATGAGATAATCTAAATGATCGTCAAAATGCAAAGTAAGATGGACGGTTATTAAAAAAAAAGCGTCAAACTATTCCGAAGTTCGCCCACCAGCGGTGCCGCCGGCGCCTGGAGTTCATTTAAATTATTATCACTTCGTTGCCATCCTGGAAAAATCGCCGGACTCGGAAAATGAATTCGGAAAATGCAATCTTTTGATTAGTTGATTAATTCGTATAATTGTTGTAGCTTCTTTAACGTACAAGAAATCGAAGTAGTCGTGAGTTATTTGGAAAAAATATTCGCCGACAAAGTGAAGGGCTATCCGATAAAGGAGGAACACGTGGGCATCATTACACCTTACAGAAAACAGGTAAAATATCGTGTGTAAAAAACAGTGAACTAGGAACATATTTGTAGACATGTAGAATTAATATTTTTAGGCAGAAAAATTGAGGAAGGCTGTAAAGAAGAAATGGAGCTATTTGTCAGTCGGATCTGTCGAAGAATTCCAAGGAAAAGAAAAACTAATCGTGATAATATCGACGGTGCGCTCTAAAAATAACCACAAATTCGAAGAAATCGACAAAAAGTGCCAGTTGGGTTTCCTGAAAAATCCCAAGGTAAATTTTTTATAAACCTCACATTATCGCGATGATAAAAACAAAGCGTAATGGAAATTCCCCTGATAGGTCCTTTAGCAAGACAAAAGCGCAGTTGCATCGAATGCAGTTTTAATATTACTTTGTATTAGAATGAATTTTCCGCGCGCATAGACAGTAAAGTAATAAATTTCTGGTAAAGGAATTAACTCGATTATTGCACTGTAACTATGCATTTTTGTTCGCTTTTTAATTACGCGAATAGCGGGTAAACGTTGTGTGGCAAATTATTAATTACATTTTTCATTTCCTTATAACTATGTAATGTTGAGATATTATTTAATTCTGATGTTTACCAGTATACTACTAAAGGATTGCTCAAACTCTTAGGAGCCTGCGTAAATTCTGCGTAACTCAATAAAATACTAATTAGGCAATAAATGACGAAGATAAAAAGGATTTTTTCCGAACATTTCGTTTCCTGAATTACGACAAAACGGGATTGTTTTAAACGACCCATTTCGTCGGGACGTTCTAATTTTTACCCGTTTATTTTCCAATTAACGTTTAAGTTCCTCGCAATCGCGCTTCTCGAGATCGATTGTTGTACTTATAAAATCTTTTGGTTTATTTTCCAGCGATTCAACGTCGCCTTGACAAGAGCTAAAGCCCTTTTAATCGTAATTGGCAACGGAAACGTTTTGAAAACCGACAGTAACTGGTCGAGTTTTATCCGGTATTGCTCCCAAAACAACTCCATCGCAGGAAAGGGGTTTCAAAATGATGCTGCATCGGCTTAACTAGCATTAATTTTACTCATTATTGCTGTATATTGTACTACCTATTTGATGTATTTTAAATATTTTTAATAATTTTTTTTACCATTTACACACGTTTTGTTTTATTGAAAGATTATTGTAATTCGAAATAACTTGTATCGTTTAAGCCTCGTAATGCAATATACGACTCGATACACAATTTTAAAAATGTATCGTTTGCTTTTTTTCAATTTAAAGGTTTTAAAGGCGGACAGTTTTTGGAAATTATGGTTTTTCCTTGCCGTGTAATATTCTCGAATTGCCTTTTTATGTAAATTTATACAACGCATTTTCACAACCTCGGATTCATATTTGATATTCTACGCTCGAATGGAAAGTTGGAAAATGATTAAGAAATTTAATGGGAGTTTTTTAAGTACGCGTTAATTCGAAATATAAGAAAATTGAATCGATTCTTGCGCAATTTCATAAAAATAACTTTATGAAAATTGTAGTAGGTACTTTATTACAATTTTTTATCACGTAAAATGTAAGAAACTTTCGACTACGAATCTTATTTAGTTGGCAAGGTAGAAGATGAAATTTCTTTTAATGCGAAATGGATTCGGAATCGCAAAGCATGTTTTTTAATGCCGGATTAAAATGAGAAATTTTTGTCCCGCGGCACACCGAGATATGGATTTATTAAAATCTTCATTTTATTATAAGTAGCGACATTTTAATACCAAAGAACGAAGGTCAAAGTACCTATCGTGAAAAATTCCGGTTTATTGCCGACTTTATTAAATTCATGTTACTTTTAATTATTCATACCTACAAATTTTGCAAAATTAAATTATTACGACAAAGTAAGTAAGAAAAGTTCATTATAAACTTTGCGCTTAATAAGAGAATCATGCATTTTTTAATTTTAATCTACTTTAATAATTAAAAAAAATAATTAAAATAATCTAATAAGTCGAGAATTTAAAACCATTATTCTATCTAACTAAAAACTTCATGAATATTTCCAACAAACTTTATTAGGGAACTTCCGCCTTCATTTTGACTAAGATGGATTATTAATTATAATTACTTAACAAAATTAAGTTATATTTTTTTATCGTTTAGTTCCTCCTAGATAACGAACGTCCCTTTATATCCCTTTATTCGTGCAGGAGAGAAAAAAATACCCAGTACACAAATACGCATGCTTTAATACCTAATCAGCGTGGAAATGCGAGCTATTCAAAGGAAAATTTTATCAGCCCACACGCGCTTACATAGCTACCTATCTTTATTAAGGCAATAAGGAACTATTTGCTTTTCCGGTATTTTACATAAATACTGCTATAACAAGCGACTCTAACAAGCGTCTCAGTTATGCCATATATCCTTTTAGTATAAGATTACCTACATTCGAACGTCCCGACTTGTCTTGTTAAAAACTTTTAAAAGATACTCAAAACTTCAGGTATCAATTCCAATTATATTTTCATAAAATATTTAATGTTATATAAAATTTTTCTTTTGACGTCATAGCTGAATTAGAGTAAACAAACTATAGGCTATTTATAAAGCGGGGAAAAAAGGCAGATTTTTTTGGGCACAGTACATAAATTTTCGCTTAATTTCGTAAAATCCAGAAAGCGGTTTCTTGTGCGAATTTTCCGGCATGATTACTTAACGCCTTATTTATTTTAGCGGACTTTTGTAGTTGGAGAAAATAAATGATATTAGAGAAGAATTGTTTGCTTTCGCTTTCGGGAGGCTGCACGGGATCCCTTTCGTGGCAAACTAAATATTTAACGGATTATTTGCTTCATTAAATTTCACTCGATTTTCTTTTCAAGAATTTCGCGCTCGCCAAAAACCCGGCAAAGTAAAAAGTTCGTACGTATAAAGTGGTAAAAAAAATCCCGTTGCTTTCCTAAAAAAATATACACTTACAACAGAAGTCGTCTAATATTTATTTTATTCACACGGGCAGTTGTACCTATCACGTTTATTATTAGATATGAATATATTTTCGTTCAGTTAGGGCGTTATTACGCTCATAAAAGTAAATATAAAGAAGTTTACGGTGCAGTCGCTCAAATCCCACAGGCGTTTATCGCCACTCGCTTATTTTACTGGTCTAAATAAACATTAACAATGGTATAAAAAGTAAGAATAATTTCATAACGAAAATGTCACTACAGATCTACCATTTCGAGTGAATCCCAGGGTTATAACACTGTCAATTATGAATGTTAACCAACTTCATGTGTGTTATAAATCAGATAAGTTTGGTCCTATTCGAAAATCCGTTCCTGAAAAATCGATTATTCCGAAAGCATTATCTTTTTTTTCCTTACGCGCCTTCCCATGGTTACTAACTCGTCGATCCAAACACCCTTCCCTTCGACTTAATTGAATTCATTTTCCGTATTTGCTTTGCAAAGTACTTGTTTACGACTCGAAAATGAAACTAATTAAACTCTTGTCAATTTCGCTCTAAAATGTTCGAGGAGCCATCCGATCGGGAATTAACTCGAATGTCGGGAGAATCAATTGCGATCATAATCACTGTTTCCTTGAATTATTTCTATTTTGAAGCGAGACAAATGGCATTTTTAACTGATTAAATTGAGTGTAATGACGCTCGACGCCGAGAAGAGCTCTCTCTGCGAATGAAAAATCGATTGAATAATCTCACAGTGAATTGTTCGAATTAGAAAACGTAGAAATCACCTCACCCATCAATTTCCAACAATCCGGCAAAGTTATAAAATTTTAAATTAACTTCTATCAGTCAGGAAAAGTTTGATATCGTTAATATTTTACCAACAGCCCTAGGCACCTGTCGTGTTTAATAAATCTTCATTTGGCGAGACTTCAACAAGTTATTTATTTGGTTTTTTGATTAATTGTCGACCCGTTAGAGTTTCGGAAAGTTTTACCATTCGAAAATTAACCATTGACAATTTTCTACTCGAATATTTTCGATCCTAACCAAATAAATTCAATAACTCGCTAACTACACATTTCGTTGTCAAATATTTAATCAAAGAATGCAGTAAAAAATATCTTTTATTAACGAATAAATTTAAGCGGGGAGATAGTAATGCCTAATTAATATTGCTAAACTTCCTCCCGAAGTTATTTAAGAAATTTGAAAGTAAATAGGCGGCGTACGCAAGAATCCTGTGAAAAGTTTCAGATTTATATAACCGCCAGTTCATAATAAACAGCGCCAGTAAACTCATATAAACTCGCATTATTTTCAGGACCTTGGAACGATTCTGATAGAAATTTTAATTATTTTAGAATCTACCCCAGATTACTCTGTAGGTATATTAAAAGGTTCGCTCTTTCCACATCAAAACAATGATGAATCTAAATTGGAAAACAAGCTTATATTCTTATAATATCTACGCAATTCACAAACATGATGAGTCTACCAGTCTACATTCTAATAATATCTCAACATTGGAACCAGAAGAAATTTTTGTAGGAGCCCTTTCTTGAACTTATTTTGGTGAAATTCGAGTGGAATTTCGACTGGAAAATTCTACTCGGCGTAACGAGCAAGTCGATATTGCCGAATTCTTTAAAAACCGCGACACGTTCTTTGAAATAATAAAGTTGTTAACTGAATATTTAATTTCAATTAAACATTACGAAACGAAGAAATAACTAAATACGCGCGACAGACGTGATTAATTTTATTACAGAGTGTTATAAAAATAACTAATTACGAGTTATAGCACTTTCTTTTTCGTCTAGAATTGTTTAGGTATATTTTTGAATGTTCCACTACTGCATTATTTTATACGCATGATAAAAATATCTCGATCTGCATTGTAAAATGACTTTTCCGCAATGACGTGTTCCATCAACCGTAGCAAATGTAGGCACAGATCAGAGTCACGGTAATAAGTTTTGGGATTAGAATTCGAGAGGCATCAATAATTGATGAGACGTGAATGGATTATTGATTTTGATATATCTTATCGCCGTACAGATACAGGTATTGTTTGCACAAAGACAAACAGGATTTTTTTCCTTTTGTTAAGTCGCAAACAGTGGATTTGGTATTTTAAAATGTTCTTGAACTTAGATCAAGAAAAGAGTTTGTCAACGTTAAAGAGTTTTAGAGAGATATAACTGCAATTTGGTGTGATAATTTTCTATAAATACCTGAGTGCAACAAATAAATGAGCCATTCGTCAAACTAATTTGCCATATACAATTCCTGGCCTGCAAGCGTCGTCGTCGGTGTAAAAGCGATTGATAAAGTTTCGAACCATTCCATTGATGATGTTTGAAGCCCACACAGTTTAATCCGTCGAGGATAAACTAAAACTTCAATCACAGAAGTTGCACTTTGTGACGTCCACTCCGGCTCGAAAGCGCCCGTCCGATTTCAAAATCACCTTATACACGGTGGCTCAAAAACGAAGACCTTAACTAATTTTTAGGCGTGATATTCATAAGCAATTTTTCCACATATAAACCGCTGTAAAATGTTTTTTATCACTTTAGAAGCATCGCTTTGTATATTAGCTACGAACATCGAGATTTACTTAAGTCGAATTTCCACACCTTGTATATTTCCTATTAAAATTACAAATTATTAATCGATGACGAACAATCACATTGAAACCGTTAAATTAAAGTTCATAGCTGCAGCGAATCAACTTTTTGAAGCTTCGGTAATAGGTACGAAATTTGTAGAACATTTCAGGAAATTATTAATATATGTTAACATGTTTGCCAGTAAAGCCGTGTTAATGCATATTCATTAGATGCGAAACTTGGATGCGTGTTGTCATTAATAGGGACCATTGTAAGTACAAACTTGAATTATAATCCCCATTGTTAAGGGTAGTAATGTTATGCACTGAGAACTTCATATAATAATAAGGGATTAAAAGCAAGCATACTGCATTGGGATGCACGGGTAAAGTGAGTTATTCGCCCTTATATTATTGCTACTACATATTACTTTTATTAAATAAGAATGGATAAAGCTGTATAGGAGATAGATATTTTACACTCGGTTTGATGGCAGTCTCGAGGGGTGGTACATTCTCCCTTTTCACAAACCTAAATGGAGTCTTGGAAAGACTCCAAAGGAAGTGATTCAAGCAAGTGATAATAATATAAAATGTAGGATGTCGTTCGGATTCTGCTAATCTCGTCTGTGTGAAAAAAAATGTGTTTTCTTTGCGACGCGTCCGATACAAAATAAATCCGAAAGGGGCGATTTCGATTCCTTATAGAGAATCTAGAAATCGGGATCAATTTGGTGTCCACATTACCGTGAATTAAAGTGAAAATTCTCCTAATATTTCAACTGAGTTTTTTTATATAAAGGCGCAATTTACTCTCTTCGCATTAACCAAAGAGAGTAGTGAAAACAACGTGGATACAAAAGATAACTTTTACCCGTTATCATAACGTAAATATTTTTTTTATGAAGCAAGCTTGTCACTTACGATTACGCTGCATCGATTTTCATGAATATTTTATACGCACAGATCCGTTTCAAAACCGCGAATTTCATTTGCTCATTATGTCACCCGCCGAAAATGTTCGATAGGCTTTGCAGAAAACCTTTTGGCGTTAAAGCGATTTTTATATAGGTCAAAAACAAAAACCATTGACTGCGTTTAAATTTAAAAATAAACAAACAATGCGAAACGAAGACGTGTGACCGCCTCACGTAAGATCGTTTGGGTCTCTTGTGGAATACAAATCGAATCGAAAAAATGATTGCACATATATAAATCCCTAATTGGATAGCTCGATGGTTAGTTGGTTTTTGAGGTTCTAGCAATGAAGAAGGTGAGAGTGATTTTTATTTTATTTTTTTCATACAAAAATTACGCGTGTAAATGCAAACTAAAAGGATTTTATAACGAATTTTCGCGTATTTAGTAATTATTTGAAACAACAATGTTTGGGTACGAAGCTAATTAGAAAGTAAAACAAATATTCTACATCAACTATGGAACAATACATAGCAAACATTTATTAGGTTTGCGGTAGTTTGCATGTAGTTAATTTGAATAATACAAAAATTTTATGTACCTACCACAATCGAAAACAATAATTAGGTTTGTTTATAATTATTCGCACCTAACATTTTGGTTGAATTTATTTTAATAATGGAACAACGCCCGGCCAAAATGCTTGGAAAAGAAGCACAAAGTAACAAAAAATTTATATATCTGCTTTCTACTGTGTTTTGGAATTTTACGAGGAATCCCTACCGTGAATTTCAAACTCGACGTATAGAGTACTTTGATTTACATTCTCCAGACGAGCAAAGTGACGTGTATATCACACTTTATTCAGAAATATTTTTATATTCTTATATTTTTATTTCGTTTAGAGTCGACTCGATGGATAAAAAGCCTTTCGCGAACTCAACTCGATTTATTCCCTTTAATATTTCAAAGTTCACAGCGCCTTATGCACTTTTATGAGAAACGTAATTACCGGGTAGTCGAGATCCGAGCCAAACGAAAAATCAAAGTGATTCGATTATTAGATACATTAGGTAATGTTTCTTACCAAAATGTAACATTAATTTTTTTCTATACATCTTTTCAGATTGTAATATGGTTAGTTTTTATTTTGGAGTATATATCTTGTGAACATCCATCGCAGTATTCTTCAAGAACAAGACAAGTACCACCTTCGACTAGATATGGAACCCCTCAAACTATCTACGGGCCACCAGTGAACACGGAACCATTAGAACCAACCTTTCGCCAACCACCTAATCCATCTAAATTATCTAACTTTCCAAACCCTTATTTGAGAGCACCTAGACCTGCATCAGCAATTTCCGCACCCCAAACAATTTATGGAACCCCAAATAGGCAAATTTTCGCACCGCAAACAACTTACGGAGTACCAAATAAACAAAATTTGGCACCTCAAACAACTTATGGAGCTCCAAATAAGCAAATATCCTCTCCCCAAGCGACTTATGAGGCTCCAAATAAACAAATATTAGCGTACCAAACAACTTTTGGAGCTCCAAATAAACAAAATTTCGTACCCCATGGAACCCCAAATCAGCTAATTAACGTAGCCCAAGCAACTTATGAAGTTCTAAATAAACAAATCTTAGAGCAAGAAACTTATGGAGCTCCAAATAAACAAAGTTTATCGCCTCATGGAACTCCAAGTGAGCTAATTTCCGATTATGCAGCGCTAAAAAAACAAATATTAGCGCATGCAACTTTAGTAGCTTTAAAAAAACAAATTTTAGAACAAGAAGCAACATATCGAGCTCCAAATAAACAGAGTTTATCACCTCTTGGAACTTCGAGTCAGGAAGCTCCAACATTTGATGAAATTCGGCAACTGAAAGCGCTTCTTCGGAAGATAGAAGAGGCTCAATTACTCACGCAATTAAACGGTAAATATGCGCAAAGTTTGCCAAATAGAGGACCTGGCGATTTCAGCCCTTCATTGACCCAGCAATATTTACCTGTGAAAGAGCCGGAAAATTTTAACCGCCAGCGAGGAGATAGGGAGAACGATTTTAACGCGCGCACGCCCAGCTCCAATTACAATCCTAGCGCAAATAATAATTTCGATGGATTTCGCGAAGGACGATTCCGATCGGGAAACTCTTGGAACAATTTAGATTTACCAAATGGAACGAATCGTAATGTTGATGTTCATAAAGTTGAAGTAACACAATTCGGATCTAGCGGTAGCAGGAATAATGAAGTTAGTACGACTTTCAGGCCCGATGCTAATAATAAAGAGGATGGTATTAGTAATAAGTACATTCCTCCTGCTACCTCTGAAAATCCGATTACAGTCAATCCTTCGACTGAGATACCGGTCGTCAATTATTTACCCCCGCAGGTAAGGTTCGATTTTATTTGATTAGAGATAAATTAAGAGAGTTAAGCGTTAAACAAATTAATTTATGAACGTATTACATCTCTTTGCAGAATGGAAATAACGAAAATCCCAACATCGCTGTCGCCACATCCGTTTCGGGGATTCCCAACGATCAACAGTTTTATTTAGTTCAACCGGACGGGAAATACCAACGGATTGTGTTATCGAAAACTAGTAATAATAATCCTGTTAACTATCAACTCCTGAATAATGCGCAAGTCGATCCTAATGTATTATATACCCCTTTGTACACTGTAATAAATAAGTGAGTACGTATGTTGTAAATTGTAACGCTGAAATAAAAATTGAATGAAAAAGGTGTTGCATAACTTCCAGATGAAGAGTATTTTTAAAATCATTATGAAAGGTGGTTGAATGTTGAAACAGCAAAAGTCCTTTGACATTTGACACAAGAGACATTCGACCTACCTCAACATATCCTTCAAGTTTGTGTACGTCAGTCAACAAACGTCAAAAAAACAAAAATGTGATACGTCAAAATTATGGTACTCGAGAATCGTGTAATTATTTTGAGATGTTAACTTGTTTTGGTTGTTTCGATGAATACGATGGCACTACCGGGGAATGGGATATTCGTCGTCAAAGGCGAAATATCGAACTTGATGGCGGCCATGAAGAGGGGCCCCAAATGGTCGTCGCATTCTTATCAGGACGACGACGTCGACGCGCTGCTGAGGAACTTCCAAGAGCTGCGGGACATTCTACACAACGTAAACGATTTAGGATACGTTGAACCCAACACGTTTTTGGCCCCTTTTTTGAACGTCATCCGTTCGGAAGAGACTACGGGTCCTGTTACTAGCTTAGCGCTGTCAGCTGTTAACAAGTTCCTCTCTTACGGCCTTTTGGGTGAGCAATTTAAGCTGTTTTAATCCAACATATGGATGATGTATCTGGTCTTTTAGATCCCGTACAAACATCCATTCCGCAGACCATCCACACCATCGCAGATGCCGTTACTCACGCCCGGTTCGTGGGCACCGATCAATCCTCCGACGGGGTAGTCCTGATGCGCATCCTGCAAGTACTGCGAACTCTTACACTCTCCCCCGAGGGCTCCACCTTGACCAACGAAAGCCTCTGCGAGATAATGCTGTCCTGCTTTCGCATATGCTTCGAAACGAGACTGTCGGAGCTGCTTCGTAAAACTGCCGAACATTACCTGAAGGACATGGTGCAATTGATATTCATGAGACTGCCCCAATTCTCCGAGGACCCGAAGCTCTCCTACGTCAAGCGATTGCGGATGCAGCCCGGCGACCTCGACCAGACGAGAACGAAGAGGAAAAAGTACTCGAAGAAGGAGAACAAAGAGGCCGTTAAAGTACAACCGCAAGAAACTAACGTCGAAAGTACCCCGCAGGCCGACATAGTAGACATGCAAGGTACCATTCTTCGTAATAACGAAACTGCTAGTGTTACAACGCCTTCTAGTCCAAATCCAAATGTTGATACAGACGTTGCTATAGACATTCCAACAGACGATAGTATGAAGAATTCAGAAACTTCTAATTTAGATGATAGTGGGGAGAAAGAAACCGACGAACCGTTTCAAGACTACGTCAATCAAAGGGGTATTCGGTTTACGCCTCAATTCCAACAGGAAACCAATCTATCTCCTTACGGTTTAGCCTGCGTACGCGAACTATTCAGATTCCTAATCAGCCTCTGTAATCCTTTGGACAAGCAGAACACGGACGTCATGATACATTTAGGACTCGGTTTGCTCACGGTAGCGTTCGAAATTAGTGCAGACAACATAGGCAAATACAGCACACTGCTGGCTCTAGTCGAAGACGATTTATGCAGGAATCTATTCGCTTTAATGAACACCGATCGTCTGACGATATTCGCAGCGAACTTGCAAGTATCGTTTCTGCTGTTCGAATCGCTACGCGCCCACTTGAAGTACCAATTGGAATGCTACTTGAAGAAACTCATGGAGATCATGCGCAGCGAATCGAACAAAGTGAGCTACGAGCACAAGGAGATCGCCTTGGACAATCTGTTGCAATTGTGGCGGGTGCCCGGCTTCCACGCCGAGCTCTACGTGAACTACGATTGCGACATGTATTGCGCGAATTTGTACGAAGAGCTCACCGAGCTCCTGGCCGAACGATCAATTTCCACCGTCGTGGGAGTGTACCACCAGCATTTGCTGTCGCTCGACGGGCTTCTGATCATAATCGATGGCATAGGAAAGAGATTCGACGAAGCGAAAGATCGTACCGATACCGACGAGATTAGTAGTTACATAGGAGAGAATACGAGGATTAAAGGTTGTGTTAAAGTACCCGATAAGAAGGTGTTGGCCGCGAAGAAGGCGATCAAAAAGTGGTTACCTCAAGGTGAGCGTATCGCAATCAATATAAAGCGCATTATTATAAATTTTGTATAATACAGGTACGGAGTATTTCAATCAGAAGCCGAAGAAGGGCGTGCAGTTCCTGCAGGAGCACGGCGTTTTGAAGCAGGAGCTCGACGTGGAGGAGATCGCGAGATTCCTGCGGGAGAATCCGGCGTTGAACAAGGCGATGATCGGCGAGTACATCAGCAATCGGGGGAACCTGAAGATCCTCGAGGCTTTTGTGAGCACGTTCGATTTCACCGGGATCCGAATCGACGAGGCGCTGCGGGCGTTTTTGGAGACGTTTCGATTGCCAGGCGAGGCTCCCACGATTTCGTTGATCCTCGAACATTTCGCCGAGCATTGGCACAAAAGCAACGGGGAACCCTTCGCCGACGTGGATTCCGCTTTCACCCTAGCGTACGCTGTGATTATGCTAAACGTCGACCAGCACAACGAAAACGCCAAAAAACAAACAACTCCCATGTCGCCTAACGCTTTCAAGAAGAACCTGAAAGGCGTGAATGGAGGTAAGAACCTTACACTATTCCGTATTCTTACAAAGTCATTGGTGAAATTTTTCATTTTCTCCATTTCCTATTAATGCCACAATTAACTCACGTTGTACTCTCCATTGTTATCGAAGGCGACGACTTCGAGGAGGAGATGCTGGACGAAATCTACACGTCGATCAAAAGCGAGGAGATCGTGATGCCGTCGGAGCGGACGGGCGTCGTGCGCGACAACTACCTGTGGAAGGTGCTGTTGCGGAAGGGCCGGTCGCCCGAAGGCGGCGTTTACATGCGCGACGACGGCGGCGCCTACGACGCCGAATTGTTTCGCATAGCGTACGGGCCGCTGGCGGCCGCCCTGAATTCCGTCTACGAGCGGGCGGACAACGAGGGCGTCCAGAAGAAGGTCGTGCGAGGTGAGCGGAAGGGCGTTCGATTTGCTTTAGAAGCGTTTTTTTGATCGTTGAAATGTTGCAGGTTTCGAGCGATGCGCTTCGATAGCGTCGGTACTCAATATGACTTCGAATCTCGACATGTTGCTGGTCAGTTTGTCGAAGTTCACCGTGTTCCACAACAATCAGAAGCAGACGGCCGTCGTGGTGCAATTCGGTTCGAACGGTAAGGCTCAATTGGCTCTGAAGACGCTTTTCATGTTGATCCACCAGCACGGGAACTCTACGAGGGAAGGTTGGAAGCATCTCTTCGATCTTCTGCTCGCTTTGTACAGCAACGATTTGCTCAGCAAGAGCTTCGTGGAGGTTGAAGATTTCGTTGAGCCGTCCGGTAAATTGTGTTTGGTGTACAAAGATGCTCCGAGCGCCGCCAAACAGGATACCGGATTGTTAAGCTCGCTGTACTCCTACATGATATCCGTGGAGAATTTATCCAAAATTCCTTCGCCGGAAGAACAGAGTTTAATAGACAAAGCCAGAGAGTGCATCAAAGAGTGCAATTTAGAGCAGATGATCACAGATTCGAAATTCCTCCACCAACAAGCTCTTTTCCAACTGGTCGACACCCTGATCGAATTATCCAGAGGTCCGGACGTGCAAGACGGTTCGTCGTACGACTACAACGAAAACGTGACGGTCTTCTTCCTCGAATTACTAGTAAAAATCGTCATCCAAAACAGGGACAGGGTGATGACCATATGGGACCGCGTCAGAGACCACGTCTACACCTTGGTCATGAACTCATCGCTGATGGACTACCAGTTCCTGTTGGAGCGATCGGTCGTCGGTCTATTGAGGATAGCCGTGCGGCTGATGCGCAACGAGGAAATGAGCCACGTGGTGTTGCAGTCGTTGCGCATGCTGCTGTTGCTGTTGAAAGGCGGCGTGCTGGCGAGGATTTCCCGGCAAATGGCGTTCGGTTTGTACGAGATGCTGAAGACGTCGGCGCAAAACATCCACACCACGGCCGATTGGACGGTGGTGTTCGCGTTGTTGGAGTGCGTGGGAGCCGGCGCGAAGCCTCCCCGACCCGTTTTGACCGGTAAGTTTACAACAAAATCCAAAGAGTATCTCTTCTAAAGTTTGTTGTAGTAGACGAACCCAAATCCGACGAAGAAACATCGACGAAGGAGCACGAAGAAGGCGCCGATAGAACGAACGAAACCGCCAAAAGACCTCAAAGTCCCGCTACGGCGGTCACCTCTCCGGTCGGTACGCCCAATACGGGCGGATGGATCATCGTCAGCGACGAAGACGATCTCCAGCCTCACCAGAATCGCCAGCAAACCCTACCGGTCCACTATCACCTGCGCCTCGACGCCGATCTCTCGGCCCACGATCCGCTCAGCATGCTCAAGTGCTGCGAGAGCTTGGCCTTTCTGGTGCGCGACGTCGCCCACATCACGCCCTACAATTTCGACGTGTGCGTGCGCTGCGTACGGACGTTCGTCGAGGCCGCCCTCAAGCCGCCTCCGGCCAACCACCAGCCGAACGTTCGAAGACCGCCGGCGCGGAGAAGCAGGACGAAAAGCCCGGCGGGCAGCCAAGAGGAGGACAGCAGCGGCGGCGACGAGGACGAGGACCTGCCCAGCGGCTACCACCAGGTCCCCATACAATTGCTCGACTTGATGCACACGTTGCACACGCGCACCGCGCAGATATTCAAATGGTGGGCGGAGGAAGGCGGCGAGATCTCCGGCGAAACTTCCCTGTGGACGCAAGGATGGTGTCCTTTGCTACAAGGCATCGCGCGATCGTGTTGCGACGTCCGCAGGACGGTCAGGACGAGCGCCATCGCCTACCTCCAAAGAGCTCTGCTGGTGCACGATCTCCAAACGCTGACGCCCCGAGAATGGGAGCAGTGTTTCCGACGAGTACTATTTCCCCTAATGAATTATCTACTGCAATCCGCCGGTACTAGAGACGCCGTCTCCACGGAGGAAACCCGCATAAGAGCCGCCGGCGTGCTGTCGAAGGTGTTCCTTCACCATCTAGCGCCTCTGTCGTCGCTACAGAGCTTCGCCGATCTGTGGTCGACGGTGCTCGAGCTGATGGACGGTTACATGCACGCCGACGGCAGCGAGTTGCTGCTGGAGGCCGTGCCCGAGAGCCTGAAGAACATGCTGCTGGTGATGGAGGCGGCGGGCGTGTTCGACGCGCCCGACGGCCAGAAGAACGCCTTGTGGACGGCGACGTGGGAGCGCATCGGGAAGTTCCTGCCGGGATTGAAGGACGAGCTGTTTAGGGAGATGGGATCGAGGAAGAAGGTCGTGGAAGAGGCCAAAGACGCGGAGAATCGAGAGAAGAAGGTGGCGGACGTGGAGGTTCGTGAGAAGGAGGCGGAGTGTTGGGAGAAGAACGTCGGCGGACGGGAGCAGGACGTGGATGGGCGGGAGAAGGAGGAGCTGGTCGCGTGTTGATGACATTTCGATTTTTGTGTACGAGGGGTATGTAAATAAATGAATATACAGGGTGATCAAAGAGTATGCGAGAGAGGTAGGTGTGTATCGAAATGTTATTTATGCATTTTTGTGTACAAACATGGTAAAAAGTAATGTTGGTAAATAGTGTGCTGGAATCCGATGTATCAAACTTATTTTATGGGGAATTATTGCAGTGTATCTTCCTTATCTCGAGAGGAATTTCATAATTTTTAAATGAGGTTAAGTTCTTTTTGAAATTCAGTATTTTAAATATAAAATTATTGCAAGAAATATAGAATGTAGGATTCGAAAATCCGAACGTTTTACAAAAATTTAAATATATTTTTAAGCCTTTTATGACTATTTTTAATAATTATATAGTACATTTTTAGAAAATAATTTGATACACCGGGCGATTGTAAATTCTCAGTGGTCACACTGTATGTGAATTATAAATTGTAAAATATTAAGCGTATAAACTAATTTGTACCTATCAAAATGCATATTATAAATAGCGTATTTTAAAGTCTATTAATTGTATATGTTGTATTTATTAAAATCTGATTTATAAAATACATTAAATGGTAATTCATTTCAAATTCGTCGCAATTAAAATTACCTAGCTAATTGGCAAGTACATAAACAAATCTATTTCGAGAATATTTTTAGCCTGTGTATCACGGTCGCACTTGTTGCAATTGCGAAAGCCAGTATGAACAAAACGAATATTATCACAGCCAAAATGGATAGTTGGAAAACTAGCATATAAACGACGTAGAAAAAACCTGAAAATAAACTTTTAGATCGCACAATATCATCTATGTACAATAAGCGAGTTACCTTTGGTAGATAAAGCGTTTCCTATATCCAGTAGAATCGTCAAAGGCATTAAAGCAGTAGCCGTTACAAAGGGCAGTACTGTAACGCAAAAACTGATTACCAGAGCTAGAGTAGTAGCCGGTCTTTCGGCGCTAAACGTCCTCAAGCACGTCCTCAGCAATCGCAGGCATCTCTGCGACCAATCTAAAAACCCCACTGCACGTTATAACAAATTCTCTAACAACGCATCGCGCGCCTCCTTATCTCCTTCATTATCTAATAAGTTCAACCGAAACTACATAAATGTTTATACTTACCGATGGCTGTTATGATATCCATTATCTTTTTAAAACTTTACGCGACTAACGCTCGCTCGATAGTCGATTTTCGCTTATTAGTAAATGCGGTTTTTTGTCGAATAATCAATTTGGAGTTTGACTCTGCTTATCTAACGAAGCGACAAGTTCTTGCAATTAAAAGCACAATTTTTCCTATGTAATTACAAAACGCGTCGAAACTGTTGACGGTCACCTCACTATTTGAATCGATGAATAATAAATAAATGTACGAGCGTTCGAATTTGTACCTAATACTCCCGATTGTTCGAAATTCAATTGTAATTTTTACCTGTTATCTTCCAATCCAACCTTCCGCGAATACGGTTACAATGGATATTAGATAACAATTCAATAAATACAATTTCCCTTCGATTTCTACTTTAATGCACAAAATAACAAGCCTCTTAAATACATAATTTACAAATCGCAAACGAAACCGCTCGTCTCAAACCCACTGCGATTTTTTATCGGTCAAGGGAACGTAAGAAACGGACATGCCGTACTTCTTCTTTATGCTACCATCCGCAAGTTTATCCACAATCGTCATTTGCTGGAAGCCCGACGACGGGCCGACCGGCACCACCAATCTTCCGCCCTCCTCGAAAAGTAAATAAAAAAACTACATACACTCAACGTTAACGAATAAAACTTGCTCAACGCCATGGACGAAATTGCTGAGCCCTTTCCGTCAGCGGTACGAAAGCAACTTTCATTCCCGTTTTGGTTTTTATCGAACCATCCGAACGCTTATCGACTATAGTCATTTTTTGAATTCCGCTCGAAGGGCCTACAGGCACGATTGATCGACCGCCCTCCTTGAAAACAAACAGAACATGGGCAAGTCTTCGAACTGATCCAGCCCCAAAGTACTAACACTTCAAATCGCTGTATTAAAGGTTATTAAGGGTTGTTTTTGGGTCGTATTTCGAGTATATATTGACAAACAGGGGAGATGGAAGAGCTAATATTGGCCATAATTTAGATATACTATAGAGTAGAAAGTAGAGTGAAGTGTGTAGAGAGTATTGAGTAGATAGTAGTGTGTAGAGAATAGAGAGTAGAATGTAGAGTGGACTGTAGAGTTCAGAGTAGTGTGTGGAATTCCTGCGTGTGATTAGCGCAGCATTTAGATAACAAAATTTTTATGGCGAAATCTCGATATCGGATTCAAATTCATGTAAATCCGATGCTCCCCAGTCGTTATATTCACTCCAATAAATCCCTCATTAACTGAGAAGGAAATAGGCCATGCTGGTAGAAAGACTTACCTTGAGTTGTTCGACGAGAGGTTCGGGCAGGACGGGCGCCGCGGCGCCGACGTGGATGGCGTCGTAGGGGGCGTAATCGGGGTAGCCGAGCCTGCCGTCGCCGGTGACCAGCACGATGCGGCCGGATTCGATGAGGTCCTGCTTCGATTTCGATATGTTTTTGACGGACGTCTCGACCAGTTCCGGTATGTGATCAATGCCTACCGCTATGCTGCAATGTAAAAAATAAACTAAACAGCGGAGCCGGTTGTGGAATTGTTGCGTTTTGTAATCTGCGAAAGAGGTTTCGGGTACGAAACAAGATAGCGGATGAGCATGTTTTATTAATAAAAATTAACATCAAAAATCTACGATTGATACCGGGGAGTTTAGCTATCTAAACGTTACATTCGATTGAATAAATAAAAATAAATTATCATTTACATCATCGTTAACTTAACGGAAATTCGTTCTGTACAAAGAGTTCATTATCGTTATATTTTGAAATGAGAAAAAACAATCAATAGAGTAACAACAATTAAAATGATAAACACAACGAAATACAGTCAACGATTTCTAGGCCATTGACTATCACGATCTGTTAAAGGAACGTAGACAACTCCCATGAGGGATTTCCTTTGAACGCTGCCATCGGGCAGCTTGTCTATTTGCTCTAGAGTTTGGTCTCCACCGGAAGGACCTACAGGCACAATCAGCCTACCTCCAACCTAAAACACAGCAACATTAACACAAGCACAACAATGGGGGTAGTTGAATTACCTTAAGTTGCTCGATTAGCTGTTGGGGCAGAGTGGACGCGGCCGCGCCTACGTGGATGGCATCGTAAGGGGCCAATTCGGAATAACCCAGACGCCCGTCGGCTGTAAATAATTGAACTCTTTGGGAATCTAATAAACTCGCGTTGTCCGTTTTTATGTTATTTTTAGCCATTTCTGTTAGTTCCGTTAAGTGGTCTACACCGACAGCGATGCTGAAATTTGTTCAAAATTAGTGACAGCGAAATCGACAATACCACCAACTTACGTCCGTTTTGTTCAATTCTAGTCACTTTTCTTATTTATACTGCTTACTTGTAGTTAGAAATAGTGGAGGGGTGTTTTAAATGTGTCGAGTTGTTAGTGAGATACATACCCTTTGTCTCCCATCATTATGGCCATGCATGCGGTTAGATATCCGCTGCCGGATCCGACGTCTAGAGCCCTAGTGCCGTTTTGCAGTTTCTCTTTCAGAAGCTCCAGCGCGTGAGCGTGCATGTGGGGGGCGCTGATGGTGACCCCGTAGCCGATGCCTTGCGGGGCGTCCATGTAAGGGCTGGCTTTCGAGTAGTGGCCCCTGTCCACTGAGAGCATTGCGCTTTCTACTACCTCGCTTTTGATTATACCGTTTGCTATAAAAAGTCGGTTAGAATGGCTACATGGAAATGTATTAATAGACGGAATTACCTTTTAAATTTCGCACCAATTCAGCGTTCGTTTTTCCGTGAGACCTCCAAGCCATTGTATTGAATAAAAGTGTGTCAAGCAGCTTTAGAATTAGAAATATTTTACGTTATTGCTTTCAAAATAAATTTGGATAACATTATTTTAAACTTCTTTGTCGAATTTGACGTTTACGTCAAAAGTCAAAAACACGCCATCTTTTTTTTAATTTGACGCGGTCTTTGCTATGTGTAGCAACGAGCTACTTCAATAGGTAATGTGTTCTTCTATTTTCTTATAAACACTTCTACTACATAAGCTACTCAGTCATTTTAATGAAGAATAATAAAGTAAAGCACTTGTAGTCATCTATTCCTTCCCTTGAAGCAGGTCTTCACTCTTCGGACGTACCTCACGGTATACTTTTCAAGCGATGCAAACTAGTAATAAGTAAATACAGAACCTGGCTGAATGTCCTCAGACAAAAGTCCAAAATAGAAATATGAAGAAGAAAGTAAAGCATTTACGTTTGTAAAAACATTTATGAATTTAAACAAGCATACATTAAAACAATTAACAATACAAATAAAAATTCAACAATCTTTAATGTTGGTTCAAATAAAACTGAAAATACAGTCAACCGATTAATAAACAATATTTTCGAATCAAAAAATGCAAATAACAACTAATTAAACATAGCCACTCAACACAATATTTCAATTTTTCTTTAAAATTTTGTTAAATTTCAAAACTTAACTAGTAAAGAATAGATAAAAAATCTACGACTGTCAGCCACGTGCAAAAATTTCTAATTCAATCTTCCAAAAAACTTCAGAATTATCAAAAATTCAACGAATATACGAAATTCCTCCTTGGAGCACTCAACAAAACAATTCACATCTTCAACATCACCGAAATTTCCATCTAAAACAAACACACCTAAACGCTCTACGAAAGCTACCTTCAAACAGTTCAAATCAATTGTTCAACTCCGCGGTGCTTCCGGGCAGCGATATCTTCTCGATTTCGGACTTGATGGTGGCGATGAGCGTCACCGCGGGATCGTTGGGCCTGAAGGCCCCTTCGGCCAGCACTTGGTCCACGTTGACCCGAGGATAGGGGTTGATAACACCGGCGCTGAGCGGCCTGACGAGCGGCGAGGGCGCCGTGCTGGACCAGGCGCCTCTCGGCGCGTTGCCCGGCGGCTGCTCCACCTTCCGCAGGTCCGTCGTGCGGGGCCGCGGCTTCGGCGTCGGCGCTCGCAGGTTGTCGCTCGACCTGGAAAACAAAACTATATTTTCAAACGAATTGCACCAACGAGGCTGACCTGTCGATGGCTGAACGGCTTTTTACGTGCGGTTGTACGTGCCTAGGGTCTGGTCGCGTGTCCTCCACCGGGCTGGTGCGCCTGCTGCCGAACAGGCTGAACGTGTCGTCGAGCAGATCGTGGAATCTCTTTCGCATTTTAGTCAGATTGGTTGGTACGTTGATATCGTTGATGCCTTCGTCGACGCTGACGCCGTGCTGCATTCGGTTTTTGTGGATGCTCCACACGACTGGGCCCAAAACGCCTGGATCTTCTCCCGCTCCTAAGCTACCGTGACGCACCAAGCCCAGCCTCTTGTAGATCTCCCTTCTGTTAACGTCGTTTCTCATTTCATCGTCGGGAAGATCTAAATGGTGCACGCTAACTGGCTCCAATACCTTACTGAGAGGCTCGGGAATGCTACCTCTACAACGTAAACAAATAAGAGAGATGCGTGTAAAATATACTGCAATCTTACCTTGGAAAAGACCTCACTGAGGGCATGGATAAATACGAACCGGGACTGGCTATGTTACCCTCGCAGGCGGTGTCAGGAGACTCCTTCCTACTGCTGTCCGAGTCGAAAATCTCTGGAGGTAATCTTTGCACCTCCACAGGAACAGTCCTGTTTAACGCAGCCCTCGGTCTGGGCGGCTTCTTCGGAGGGTGTTTCTTCACCACCATAAGTGGAGATATATCCAAGCTACCGGAACTGAAAAAATGGGTTAATGTGTGAACTAGAGCTGAACAAAAATCATGTTATTGTTTGAGCACAATTGACCCTAATGCAAAAATCGATAGAAGCCTATTTACCGGCCTAAAGTATAACGAACTCATACATACGTTATTATGTGATTAGGAAAAAATTACCTCGTGGATACCGAGCTTATCGAACTCGCCGGCCTGCCGACCGTCCTGGGCAAAGTCGAAGTTCCTTCGTATTTTACGTAAGTCGGTGAATCCCTTCTGGCGGTGTCTCTGGAGAAGGCTTTGTTATCGTGGCCGGCGCCTCTTTCGAAGACGCTCTGTCGATTTTCCACTCCCATGCCCGTCGGCGTGCCCACTTTCTTCTTCTTCGTGCAGCCCAAGATGAACGCCAATATCAAAAGGAAGATTAGGAAGGCTACGATGGATACGCCGATGAAGAGCCAAGTGTTTTTGGCGCTGGACAGGCTTTGCGGTTCGCTGGGCTTCAAATAGGCTAAACGAAGCGAAATTTTTGATTAGAACTCGATTTATACTGGGACTATAAAGGCATCTTACGTTCAGCTTTAACTGAAAAAGGAAATCCCAGTTCTTTCCTGACTTCATCGTCGGAAACTAGGCTCATATCTTTTGCGGCGACTATGGCAGATACTGGTTTTCCATCGACGGATACATGATAAACCACTTCGATATTTTCATCGCCATTTAGCTTCGATTTATTGACTCTGTGAATATAAACATTCACCTGCTTATCTTCTATATCTCTTTTACCTCTCGATGATTCTCTGGAGGAACTGGTGATTCCCAGATGCTTGTCCTGTTGCCTATAATCAATGGGAAAATAAATTAATTGTATATCTGTAATCGGAGGTTTGGGTACCTTTGAAACGCCGTTTTGTACAATTTAGCTAAGCTATTTTTGATATCGACGACAACCGGATCTTTCCCGTCGCTCTTCAATACAGTCAACAACCAGAATTGTCTATCGGCATCGAAGAAATCATCCCCATCGATGGAATCGTTCGAGAAAGTTGGACTCGGTTTAATCTCACCATCAGGTACACTTGGTACAGTATTGCAGTCTATTGAACATTTAGAACCGTTCTTCCCAGTCTAAAATAATTCCTCCATAAAATACTAATCACCTCTAAAGCGTTTATTTACCTCGTTAACTGTATGGGAAGATTCCAGGAACACCGTGGTGACAACAGTTTTCGTCTTGTACACAGTGCTCGGGTTTTCCTCGGATGGAAAATTCTGCTCGTCTTCACCCCCATCCCCAGAACCGGTCCAAAAGAAATCCTCGAATTTGTACGTCCCTTCCCGATAGTCGTTTTCCAGCAAAAAAAGCTCTATAAAAAATTTGAGATTCATATACTTGCTAGTATTAGATATGGAGAAGGATACAACGATTTGTAATACAAGGAAATTACAGTAGAATAAAAACAATGTCGTAGATAAGAATAATAAAGAATGCCAAGTGTACATTCGAGGATTAGTTTAAGGATAATGTAAATAAATGTTTGTTTTTCGTATAGATCACTTTCTTTCTTATATGTCACGCAATTTCAGGAAAGCGTATATTTACACGATCTCATTTCCTGGTGCTTTGTGTAGGCACGTCCTTGAATTAATTCGTTGAATATTTAAGCTCTAGTTTAAATTTTGACGCTAATTACGCAAGCATGCGAACTGTTTATGACAATTCGATTGCAGGAGCGTATTCGTAGGTAAAACAGTACCTGATTTATTAAAGAAAATGTGCGATTAATTCGAAGATTAATGGGAGAATTTATTAATTTATCGGTAAAGGTCGGTGTGGAAATTAATTACAAACACCTGCGAAGTCGATCTAATTGCGATGCTCGCAGGTGGGCCGCTCATCGCCCGATACGGTCCTGAATTTTCGATGAATTCGTTCGGAATTACTAATGCAAAACGCGAAAGGATGCGTGTGCACCGGCCCAAAAAAATGTGCCAACGAAATTTCCCACAACGAAATTTCGACCTTCATTTTCGAACTCGACGCGGGAATGTTAAAGGGATTTGTTAAATCAATCCACCATCCAGCGGGTTCTTTGCCCCGTTTTTTCAGCGGAGTCTTCCAGTGCCTTGTACCGGCACGATCGGATTGCGGATATTCACGCATTTCTTTATTGATGAAATTTATACAAAACATGACAAGGAAGTCGTTAGCCTTAGTACAAATAACCGATAAATCGACTAAATTGTTTGCGAGCTTTAATATCCTGATTGATTCCCTTTTTTAAAAGGAACTATTTTTAGTAACACAACTACAAAATACATATAACTCATTGATAACAATATTAACAATACAAACAATAATGTTTCTAAATTTAAACAAAACATAAATAACCATTACTCGAAGGTTCATATAGGATATAGAGCAAGGTGTAAGGATCTAGACACTAACTTTGAGAAGATTAAATAACCTAGTGTTCCAATGAGGTTCTATTGTGCTTCAGGATTAGATACTAGGATGTGTTACTATATGGGATAAGGCAATTCATAATTCCCAGAAACAAAAATCTAGAGATGCAAGTGACCTACAGTGAGACCAATATAAAAATAACAGTGCAAATTAATCCGAGAAACTAAAACAAAAGGAACTATTTTTAGTAACACAACTACAAAATACATATAACTCGTTGATAACAGTATTAACAATACAAATAATAATGTTTCTAAATTTAAACAAAACAAAAATAACCATTACTCGAAGGTTCATATATGGGATATAGAGCAACGTGTAAGGATCTAGACACTAACTTTGAGAAGAATAAATAACCTAGTGTTTCGATGAGGTTCCATTGTGCTTCAGGATTAGATACTAGGATGTGTTACTGTATGGGATAAGCCAATTGATAATTCCCAGAAACAAAAATCTAGAGATGCAAGTGACCTACAGTGAGACCAACAGAAAAATAACAGTGCAAATTTATCCGAGAAACTAAAACAACCACCTGTTCCGTAAGTCCTCGTAGCCAATTTCCTGACATCAACGGTGGAAAAATCCAGCTCTTCGGCGCGCACGTTGCCCAACAGCAGCCACCCGATCGCGACCATCGCCCATCGACCTACCGTCCCCATCAGGAGCGTTGTTCCGCCGCCCCACGACGAACGGCCGACGATCTATTTGGGTTCGCGTTCGGCCCGAGGCGGTCGCATGTTCTGACTGGCTTCCTCATGGTCCGGATGGGTCTATCCGCCTATTTTTTTCCGGCTCTGAATGGGGCGCTCGGCGCTCGGGAATCGGAAGCGATTCGCGACAATCGACCGAACGAATACACGAATATTTCGATACTGATTAAGGATGCTCTGCGGAACGCGATGGTGGTTAGAGATAGGAGGCGGCGCGGAAAACTTGGCTGGTCGATTGGCGCCCGAACGCATGGTAACGGTGGTTGGACGAGAACCAAAACAAAGCGACTGTGTGGGTAATTGATCAAACTGGTGGTGCTGTGAGCATGCGTCAGGCTGGATTTGGTCTAGTTGCTATTGTCGATGGGGACAATGACAACAACAATGAAGTTCATGTGGGCATGTACGGACGAGAGATTAGCAGAGATTACTCGTATATTTGTTCATATCTCTTTCAAAACCTCCTGCTCTTTTGTGTTGCGAGTTTTGTGTTCATAAGGTAAAATTTCCACAACCTTTTGAGAAAAAAATTTGAGCGGTTTCCACGTTCATACAAAGTAACTATATCAATGTACCTATTAGCATCACTAATTAATAAGATGGTATGATATAAATTGGGTTCTAATTTATCAAAATCTTCTATAAATATACCTACTTAAGATAATTTTTAATAAACTTTTCCCATATAATTGACACAAATAATCCGAATTTTTAATTAATCGTAATCCCGCGATACTTAATAAATACGACATTGAATGGACTAAAATACATTTTTACGATATTGTCGTAGGTCCTGTTTGTTTACGAATAATTTTGAAGAAAACTGATCTAACTGAGAACTTATCGAATAGTAGTATTATTACTATACTTGACCGGTCGCTAACCTATCCATTAGGATGTTTGTATTACACACAAATGTATGTATAAACAATTTAAAATTTACTTATACGAATGGTTTATTTATATTTTGTTATTATAATTTCAAATTAAAAACATTCCATGGCAAAGTTAAACAGGTAAATTTATACCAACTTATTCAATACAATTTGACTAAAAAATTGCTAGAGGTTGTTTAAAAAACGAGCCATCTACTATGCAACTGCACCAATGGTTTCGAGGATATTTCAGTAATCGATCATCAGTACCGATTATAGATTTTATGGCCGGCGAATAACAATAATAAATAAATGAAAAAAATAGATTACATACTCTAATACAGCGCAGGCTGGTAAAATCAGTAAATCGTCTGTACCGAGAGCTACCGTGCAATTATAAAAAAAGAAGATTTCGAAGAAGAAAAAAAGCATCGGCGCAATTTGGCCGCAATGCCGGCGGCGCATTAAGAAGATGAACTGATTTTATTACGAGGCGAACACAAAGGAAACACGCTCGATAGTTTCACCATTATCTCACAGTGCTTTTATTCCTATTCTTACACCAAGTAGATGCACTAAAATTCTCGTTCCCATTACCTTCATAAGAGATATTCCCATCATCCTATAAGGCAATAATTTCCTTCATTAGTTCCAACCTTTTTTTCCATTACGAAACATCCAACTCCAAATTAACAAACACAGGCATTTATAAAATAAACAACATTTTAATAAGCATATTCGCTTCCAATCTCAAGTCTATAACTATTAATTATACATGTTGAATCCAATAAATCTAATGGGATGACACCCCCCGCTTCGCTCGATTCAAGCCACAATTATAAGCTCTATACGCTGCAATTAAAAAGTTCCAGAGATACCGGAGATTAAGCAGAGACGAATTCAGGTAAATAAAGGTAATGTGAATAATGCAGTATCTGAATGTACCGGGTACAAGGAGGTAAGGTCTACCCTGTAAAAAACAAACGCAAGAACCGAGCATCTCGGTAGCTCGAAGGACAAAACAAAAAACCAGGTAGCTCGAGAATAAATTACTATTTAATATTCATATTCGAACCCCTGGGCGAATATAGCGAGCCACTCGGCGTTATGATTTATCCCGGCAAACAATAAAATCGAAAGAATTTTCGACCGCAATCCGGTAAGTAGATTACGCTCGGTGGTGCTGGCCAAACCGTAAAACGAGCAATCGTAAAAACGGCATTAATACCCCATTTTCGAGCGAGCCCCGAAGATATCTCACGGAGATACCGATTATAATTTATTTTTAATTATTCATGGGCGTTACAAAAGTTATAAAGAGACCTTGCATGCCAGAGGTAAATACGCCAGCCATATAACCGAGAGGGAACCGGCGCGAGGCCGAAGGAGAAGCTGAATTAAGGATTAGTCTCAGGCCTCGGCTACCTGTCTTACCCGAACACCTGTTTGAATATATGGTTCTGGTTTATTTATTTCGGTTCGTCGAAACCCATTCTATTTTTTTTCTGCTTGATTTCTTCGGATAGCGCGCGGGACGTCCGCCAATCCAGCTCATACTGCCTCAATTCTGGCGGTACTGATGTTACAATTCCGATGTAAATAGCGAGATTTATGTAAAAATGCCGATTCCGAAGATGTATAAACAAATAACGAGTGATCCTATCACACTATTATCCTCTCTTACAAAGGTAGCAGTTGAACAATTACAATGAAAGTAGAGTACTACTACTACCAACCTCCCAGCACCAGATCAAGCTAACCCAGACCTCTAACAAGCTATTCTAATAATTTAGTAACCAACAAACGCCCTGTATATAAATCGATCGATTTCCGAAGACTCTTTTGAGACGTCACGCTAGCGGATCGACGGCCCTCCGGGCAACAAAACAAACGATATAAACGGTATACGTATAAGTACGCGAGCGCTCCGGTCCTACTCGCGCCGCTGATGATAACGATGATGACGACGACGACGACGATGATGATGACCGCGAGTCAGTGACTCCGGTGCCTAAGTTCAAGGCGATCTCTTCTTCGGCGATGGGGCGCGCGGCGGCGCGGAGAAGCCGGAGTTGGGCTCGCAGGGATCGGCAGCGGTACTCAAACGAACGCGGATGTGAAGCGGTACCGGCGAGGGGGCGGGCGCGGGATGATGGTACTTCGAAGATGTATTGTTTAAATGCCGAGTGCATAGTAAGCGCGGTAAAGGTAGGGAGAAGATACACAATTTCACTCTTTGTATACAAGTCATCAATTTCCAATTATACTGGAAGTACCTATACCTATTAGTTAAGTAGTTGGATACATTAGTAATTAATTAACTCACAATTAAAAAATATATCACCAATTTGAAAGCCTGTCTGGCGAATACAAAATTACCATACCCATTGATCTATTCCTTCTACAACTGTAGGTACTAGAATTATCTAATTATTAATTTTCTACAACATTTATCACCAGTTGAAAAAATCCATTAAAACTAGGGAGAAAACAGCCCTACCGTCATAGGCACTGGCTCCAAACCCCAGTGCCGAGTAAATAAACGAGAGTGAACTCTTTTAGCGTCATTTGTACGAACAAGACTACCTGTGTTATCTGCTCCCATAACTCAGAGCGTGTACCAACGCGCAAAAATAATAAGAACTCGTATTCTGGTGGCGGAGGCCGGTGCAGCACTCCTTTTGCCGGGCTCCGGTTAACGATGTCCCGGGGCGTCGCTTTAATAAACATAATAACTACCAAAGACGCCACTTAAAAATGGTGCAATAGCCGGCGGATTCGCTCGAAATGTCGCGTTCTATGAGGTGCTTATAGAAGAAAAAAAACGGCGTCCAGTTATTGAATAATTTGTCAATGGTGAATTGAATTGTATTGCATGGGTAAACCGGTTTCAGTTCAATTTGCTTGCAGAATGTTTCAAAATGTCTTCGATTGGATGAAGAGTACGATTATTAATTACAGTATGGTCATCATCTTAAGACTTTAGTTATAATGTAAAATCCATAGGTAACTTGCAAGGGAATTTATGCACCATCTTGACTACTACAATAGCCTCAGCTTAAATAATTACGCAATTACGGGCTTGGATTTATTTTCGTTGTTTTCTTTCTCTGCGGGGCGGCTGAATTACCTCCCTATTACGTGGACAATTTTATTGTTCACGTACTCGAATTTATGTTAATAGTCGGGTCGTTTGTGACATCAATTTTTACAGCAGTTGCAATTTTTATTGTCGATTTTGACGTTCGAAAAATAATAGTTTTACTTGTACTTGGAACTGTCGTGTAGGTTAATTATATTTTATAAATAACACAACAAAGTGCGGCGTATCGAAGTTCATCCGTTTTTAATTATATGATTTACTACCGCGGGATGCACTTCTATTTATGGCCTTTTAAAATTGGTCGTAAAAGTTTCATATCTTACAGCTCTTTTAGCAATATCTTCGACGTTTTTCTCTCATTTGAAAATTTAATGCGCTCGCTCGGGCCTTGGCGCATCGCAAAATTCGCTGGTTTTATCTTTTATAAACCCATAAACGTGCTTTATTTATTGTGAACTTCGAATCCGCGTGCGCGTATAGTTTTTTTATTGCCGATTTAGTGCCGTATAAAACCGCGTAAAAATTTACGTTTATTACCCGCTCGTTAGGCGTATAGCACTGGAGACACCTTAAAAAACAATTCCTTTTTCTGCAACGTGCTAATCAAAAATTCGGGTATCCAAATGCTAAGCAACAACTCGCTGCATTACATGTTTTTTTGCTCTCGTTGTACTAAATAAAAGTACCCCAAGAGTCGTGAGAATATAAGGATTCTCTATATAATGAAGCAAACTAGAAACAAGTTGCTCAAACCAAAACACGTCTAATGAGGGAATATAACTTTGAATGACAATTTCCCACGCAACGTTCGCTCTAATTATATTAAATTAGCCGGCTATGCTGCGATACCCTGACCATCTTAAAGTTACGTCGGCTTTTTTTTTTGCTTCTACTCTCCTGCATTTACGTTCTCACGTAGTACGCTTTTGATCGGGTACCACGCACGGTTGCCGATGGTACGAAATCGGAGCAAAAATCCCGCAAATCCGGCCGATTCGACTCGAATAACCGCAACTTACGGGAGAGTCAGATGTGATAATGACGATGAACGATGCAGGATCGAGCGTGGTGTTTGTTAATGCATGGTAAATTGATATCTAGTTGATTGTTGTTTGGCAACGTGGCTTCGATTGCGCCGTCATCGACCTCTGTGGGTGTAACAACGGCCTTTGTTTATAAACAACATTTTGAGGGGCTCTGGTCGATGGGTAGTGCGTAACACGGGTGTTACTATCTCTTCCACGGACTCTTCACGTCCAAAGAAGACGATTTCGTATTGTTATGTATCTTTGCGTTACATCGAGCAAGAGGCTTCATTTTTAATTTAATTTAACTAATATGCGCATCTAATCGTTCGAACATAATAGATGGAAAATTCGTGGTTAAATTATCACTATTATAAATCTGGTCTCAAATCCCAGGGGTGCGAGGATTTACATCTAACATCGTGACCAAAATATTATTTATAGATTTATTCCGGTGTGGGTGGGTCGAGGCTCTAGAGGATTACATCAGAAACCTTTCTCTCATTTCCGATTCGACGAAGATAAATTCCACAAAACACCACTGGAATTGGTAATTTCTTTGGATCCAAAAAATTAATTTTCCTGGTGTTGTTCACAATGCGTTTCCTTTGTGCATTATTTGGGCATATTAAAATACGCGGTTTATCGAGTAGGAGGGCTCAATGGCATTGTTTGAGCAAATATTATGTTATGCATGTAGTGCATGTTATCTTCTTCTTTCAGAAGCAATGGGGTCCTTAGGGCATAAAAGAAGCGACGTTCGAAACGGCCTCGATATAACGAGAGCTTCTTAGGAAGACTTTAATTACAAGCCAAACGAGCCCGAAAAATAAAACAGTTTTCTATACATAATGTACATACATAAAATGTAATTAATACATAGTAAATAATTATCTAAAG